CGATGGCTCGAGAACTACTGAATCTGTCTCTCAGCGCCAGAAGTCTTAACCGACGGTCTTGTGGCTTTGCGGTCCCTCTCGGACGTCCAGAACCCTGCGCTCGCTGTCCTCGGCCTTCCTTCGTCTACGTCCTAGGTAAGGATCTGTTAGTTCTCGATAGAAAGGCACGCAACCCGACAATTCGACCACTCTCAAAGTCACTTAGCTGGGACACCCGGCGAATTCTACGCACTCTAGGCATTTTGAGCAATCACAAAAAGGCTTCTCAATAAGCTACACGAAATTTAACATGTAACTGACACCTTAAATGTACAAAAACTGAATGCTTCTTTATCACCGAACAATCAAACAATACACGCGGCCACCACAAAAACTTAACATAAAAACCTAAATATTTTATCGCTTGTTCTTCATGACAGGATAAATCGATATGTAGAAAATTCTTGAATTCTAATAAACGGTGTTTACCTTTTTTCTCACTCAGTATATCTATCTAAGCAGGTATCTTTCCATCAAGATGGAAGATACAAAGGTTAGTGCGACTCGACAAAAGGAAGCGTCTACCCATAACATCGTAATCGTTCGGCTTGGCAGGGAAATCATCTAACGCGCAGCAATATAAGTTTTGTAGAACACATTGTAGGCACATATGTTAGAAAAGAGATAGAAACCTGCGGTATAGCGAAGCTCATCGCCACGTTGCCTAGCCTCTCTTCAGAAAGCACAACATATAAATAACCCGTCATATTCGGCATATTCAGTAATGATTTTCTCATACAGCAAATATCACTGATTTTATACACATGCAGACCAATACACATAATCATACAGATGCGATCTTGCTAGTCAACCAACTTTCTTCTCAGAGATAAAAACTACAGACCCGGATCACTCAGCCTCACAAAGCTATGCAACCAATAATGCGTAGTTTAGTTGAGTGATTCCTCCACAGATGGACGTTCACAACGATCCTAGTGAGCAAACGTGGAATGACTGTTTGCGAACTAAAAACTACCTAAACTGAATCCAAATTCAAGATGAGATGTAAATAATAATAAATAACAGTTAGCGCGTGATCTCCCGGTAACAGGTGGGGACAACGCCTCTTATTAGTCAATTCGCCATTAAATTTCAAGCGGTCGCCTGGCGGAATAATGCGCGGGGCAGGAGCAGGGCAGGCAGAGTTGCACTCAGGCCACCGTCCGTCGCGTGTATCACTGCGTGCTCGTATTTTCGTATTCACCTTGCTTGGTTGTTGCTGTTGTTGTTGTTAAGTGTATTTGAGTAATTTGTTAAGTTTCTGTTAAATACTGTCATCTTTGTTTTACAACACGTTGGTGGTAGTCCATCATTCGGAGGTAGCCCTGAATGCGGCCTTGTACGCCTTCCTTGCTTTGCAAGTTGACATCTTATAGCTTTATTTTGACGTTTTATCGGTTTTTCACACGATACCCGTGCCGTACCTTATATTAAGATGCATTTATATTGAAAATATGCGTTAGAAATTCGAAATGGAACAGCGTTGAAAGACCTTACTGTACTGCCAAATAATGCATGAAAGTCCATGAAACCGTCGAGTCATTGATTTCAGAATACAGCGAACATCCCGAAAACGTGGTAACCAAGTATTTTTTGAACGAAGGTTTTAAAAAAACGTTTATGTTATCTAAAAAGCTACTTCTCGATCACCTCAAAAATGACCTATGATGGTGACACTCAGCAGTGTAACTAAAATGTGAACTCCTTGAATCCGTGCCAGTGTCCGAATCTACGGCGGACAGATGACTCACGTCATACTACATATTTCCGGCCAGTTCCCATAAAATAGAATATCAAATAAAAGGGTTCTCGTTACTACATCATACACGACTTGTTTTATTACATATCATCATCAACGCATCCTCATTGGAAAACCCTTTATTCTGGCAACCATGAACAAAAATATGAAATACAACGTTTGTTGTAAAGTCGTTAACGAGAGTGGTTAGCATACCTGTCTTCAACTTCTTATTGAAAAACAGAAACTCTAATAGCACTATCATGGAAATAGAAACCTTGTCTTGGATTGTATAAAACACGATGTTGTCAAGCGAACCAATCATGCAATTCTTGTTTTCTGCATATTTTTTTTGTTTTACTCCTGAACTTGACGCCTCATCACATGAAATTTTAATTTAATATTCAATTAAACACAGTCGAGTTTTGGTTTCGGTATTGGTTTTTCCGGTCATGCGGTAATGACGGTGATCTACCAGTCTGTACCTATTGTACGCACAAAAACCAGTATAGCGAAAGTGTAATAAGGGATTTGCGCCCATTATTGTAGGCAACCCAAATCTACGTCCCTCGTGTGCCAGACTGCCTAAGTGTACGCTTATGTATGAATGGTATGAAGCATAAAAACTGCATAGACTACATACATTTTGTTTTAGCCTTTATTTTCTGTTCTTACCTCTCTCCATCTCTCTCTCTCTTTATCTCTCTCTTTCGGTGAAACATCTGGAACTAACTGAATTATTTCAAAAAATCGTAGAGTATTTGCACGTTTCCGTTATTCCTGTAAATAAGGTCTCATTCTGGTAGAAATATTGAAGAATCGGTAGGTTCCGCAACATTGCCAAAATCGCTCATCTATGATCAATGGAGGTGTAAACCTAGCCTTGGAATATATAAGATGCGGTGTTGTCAAACAAACCAATGACGCAATGTTGCAGAATTTGTGGCGATCCTGACGTTTCATTTCGAACTAAAATGAAGCGCCGCTAGGACCAATCGGGAACTAATCCTAAACAGATTCGAAACAATTCACAATTCAAAAATGTGTACGTTCAAAATAAAACCATTATTTAGGCGTAAAGAATAGACTAACTTATATTTTCAATATGCATCTTAATTCAAGGAACTGGTGTAATATATTGGCGACGTGGCAGAATGCATGACCTGCGTCACCGTTGATAGGCAACGTGAAGATGAGCTTCACTCTCTCGTACACATCGAACTTCCACCCATCAGCCAAATTTGGTACTCACACCGTATACAATATAATATTGTCTCACGAAATCAAGTAAACTCATAGTTAGGAATGCACATATTTCGTCCTTAGCATTGTAGTAACCTTATGTAACAATTTCAAACAAATCCGAAAAGTACTTTCCAAGCCATAAACGAACCAAGGATTTGCAGGCAGCCCGAGAGGAATCAGTGGCATGGTTTTTCGTGATGTACATGATATGAAAAAACATCTCATTTCCGATTTTTTTCGAGATTGCAATAATTCCTCGCCAGTAAGTAAAAAGGCACGTTGTGTCTTTCCTCTCCCTGGGCTATAATCGTCACAGAAACCTCAATAAGGATACTAAAAATTGCGGAGTATTCATATAATCCCATCACTATTCTCGGAACTTGAACTGGCAAGATTGCTATACCGTCGGGCGATTTTGCAACATCCGTCAGGTGTCAAATGTTTTAACCTTGCTTTTGTATTTAAATTCAAACGCAAAACCGTTGATGAAAAAAAACTAATAGATCAAAAACGGAGACACATAACTTGGCGCTCAAGGAATTCATTTGTGAAAATATTCAATATGATAACCGACAGGGAAAGACTGGAAGCAGATGAATATGAAAAACAGCATTATGGTTTTTCTTCTACACAATTCTACGTTGAACGTAAGTTTATAAAATTAACGACTTATTGCGTCTCATAGTGAATTTAGTTTGTTGGCAGTACGAAAAGGTGATCAAGGAAATTATAAAAGAAACATTATCAGTGATAAAAGTTGAAAAAGACACATCAGAGGATACCTCAACAACATTAGAGCAAGAGATTCAGATGCATAATGCATTTATGGAAGTAGCTAAAGAAGCAATTATGAAACTGAAGGTAAGTCTCAAATTTTACTGTATAGACACTGTGCTGTACGCCTGCCAGGCGTACCTGTTAAGCTTTGGCTTCAATAAGACTATTGAATAAAGGAAAGTGGCCAAAACTTGACCCCCTAGTTAATTACTGATTAATAGAATGTATTAAAAAAGCTAGAAGTATGTTTTAGAACCATACTAGGCAGATCTGAGATATCACTGTGTGTCTCCAGGGAGTCCTATAATGAAGTTCCCCGTGCCCCTCAACTAACACCACCAGGGGCAATGAACTGTCAACACTGATGGAGTCGCCCCCTCCCATTTGAAACGATAATGAGGCCAACATACGACAAAGAGGTCCGAGAGAGAGAGAGAGATGGAGCTAGTCAGGGCAAAAAGCGCGCGGACTTGAATGAATTACATAGGAAACCGAGGATTCTTAGAGACGATTTAAAAGTTATTCAGGCAACTGGAATGAGATAAAATCCTGGAAACGTAATTATAATTAAAAAACCAAGTTTATTTATTTATATATACATATGTATGAAACTTGACAATAAATTCTCCTTTACACATTTGAAGATATGAAAATTAGTATTTAACATAAGTAATTAATAATTCAGGTAATACTATTGACTGAGCTGCAGATATTCTCTTCTCTTTAAGTAGTTCATCTACCAGACTATTCAGACTTTTTATTTTATTTCTTTGACTACGAATTTTACACTGATTGTACTTGTTAATTTTTTTGTACTTATGAACAGTTTCATGAGCAGTTTTCCAAAATCTCTTCCGACGCTGCACATTTTTTAAATCCCCAAAGTATACTGGTGATCTGACCCTACAAACAAAAAGAGGTTGTAACAAATGAGAAACACAAAGTTCAAAGACAATTACCTTAAATTGCATATGTTTGAAGGTTCACTTGATTCTAAAAATCCTAGTTTTTGTGTTACATTTGACGGATCTGCTGCCAATATATTTCCATCATCAGCATGATCGCCATTTTCAGGTACTTCTACTACTTCACCAATAGCCAAAGTTTGTACTAAAAATAATTACGTTACTTAAGACCCACTTCATCATTATAAATATCTTTTTTAAAAGTAGAAAAGTTGAAACCTTAAGCTTAGACTGGAAATATTTTAAAGAACATACCTATTGCTTTTGAGTTGGATTCTTCAAGTTTTCTTTTCAAAACCCTTCGATGGCTAGGTTCTTTCTTGAGATGGGCTGGAAAATCAAACACAAATTGAACTGCCACCTTTTTTTGGTACCTTATTTCCATGAACACTAACTTCATAATCCTCTGGAGAAATTACCGTTGTTGTACTGGGAGTAAAGTTTTCTCTTCTTATAGCATGTAACCACAACTTCCTCATGTTAGGATCTCTAGGTATCCTAAAAATCCAGATATTTCCTCGAATTACCAATTAACAGGTAATTCTCACACAAAAATAAATGAGATGATTAAAACCAACCTGTGAAACTTCATTTTCACATCTTTTCTGCGTCTATTGCAACAATTCACCGCACTGCAAGATTCAACCATTTCTAAACAAATATCACATAAAACAACAGCTGTTGAAGGCTGTCCGGCATAAAAATGTTTATAATAATTGTCGCAAACTAGTCTTTAACGTCACTAAAAACAAACATTCACCCAAAAATCTTTAGAACATGTATGGAAATACGACAATGGACCACAATGTTTTGCCCTGACTAGCTCTATCCTTCTTGTTTCTCATTCTAGCCGCAATGAATTCGCGTTACGCCTGTTCCATAAGTATTGACAGTTCATTGACCAGGGGCCCCATTTGTGATTTGGGTCCCAGAGATTCTAGATCCGCCACTGCATTTACTTAGTTTCATAGGCTGTAGTTGAAAATTATCATTATAGAAACAACATCCATTTTTAATTCCTTAGTTTCAAAAGTCACAGACACACACTTCTTATCCTGCTCCCCTGCCTTCTTCCAACCCTTCTTCTAACTCTGAAAGACATCAGTAGAGTTAGTTATTCTAAAATCTGGGTGAACTTTATTTTCTCCATTAGTTTTCCCATTAACCTTTTTGCACTAGAATGATTTCAAAAGTTAGGTGATTAAATGGGGTCTGGTTTGTGCAACTGAAACCAAAAACTTATTTATTCAACAAAATAAGCAAATTCCATAAAAATTGACCTAAGATCTTGCCATTTTAAGAAAGTGTATGGTTAATGTATAATGTATTGTTAAATTATGGAAATAAACCATCCAAATAGTCTAAAATACCTTGCTCTGTTTGGAACATCAATTAATGTAACCATTAAGATTTAGGCTCAATATGCTTGAAAACTATCAAAAAGTATACTCCTCTGAGGTGCTCCATTCCTTTCACTACAAATATCAAGAAAACTGTAACTACTATAACAATATATGAGTAGTCTTTGTGTTACTGAATACACATATTTGAGTAAAAAAAGATGTTAAAAATTATTCAAATTGCATACTTCATGTAAATGTGACTATTTCTTGATTTGACATGAATCAATGAGTAGTAAATAGTTTGAGACTAGCATAGTTTGGTCTACTGAAACCAGGAAGGTGTTAGCTGCTCATGTTATGTCAGCATCATTGTAAATTTCAATGGTACATTACTGTAATATGTAAAAAAACAATTCTTAAATACAAAAGTCATGAATCACATACAAAAATATAATAATTCCTGTATTTTAATTTTATTTCAAGATCATGTATGGTTTTTGCACTACCCTGGCGTCACACTCTGCAATATTAGTGTCAATTCTTTTTACTATTCTTTTTCTAGTTTCTCCTTTTTGTCATTTCTTGACAATAAAAAAAAAAGAAAGCAATGGCTGGACCTGCTGTCAAAAAAAATTCTAGGTTCTAAACACAACCATTATTTTGAGAATCTGTGGGCTCTCATTCTTACAATTTTCGTTTTTCAAGACGGATGGAACTGAGCACTGCCCAAAAACTTTTTCTGCAACAAACTACATGGGACAGGAGTGTGCATGCCCGCCACTATGGCGTAGGAGATATAGTTGTAGTCACCATTCTTGGTGGGTCAAATTAAGACTACCATTATCACTTTATATATCTCTATCTCCCTCATACATACACATGCAACCTACCCCTGTGTATGAACGTTTGATCGCCAAACATACGTTTTTTAGTTGTGTCTCCATCTCAAAAACTTTGATGTTTCCTATCATATTTGTCGAAGTGACAACTTACTTGACAATGGAGTGAAATTCGAATTGTCCTGCTATCAATCTTCAATAAAAAATTGTACAATGCCCGGAAAGACTATCAATGGAGAAGGCCGACAGCTTGTGCTAAATTTATTAAAGTATTTTCAGGAAGAGAATGAAAACAGCGGTCCCCTGTTACGCACTTCATGCGTACTGGAGAGAATAACAGATGCTCTGAAGATTAGTCTCCGCAGTGTTCCGCCCATGATACGGAGACTCGAACTGTTTATTTATTTCATGGCGTTGATGACGTAACCGCCAAGAATGTTCACTACAACTATACCTAACCTAAAACCTACTATTTACACTTGGCAATAAAGGAATATCAGAGAAGGGCAGTTTCCTCTATCTTTATAGCAATTATTAAAAATATGTTTGTCATGTGTTTAGGAAAGAACTCTGATACTTTGTGTCACTTGTTTTTTTTAAAAGCATTATAGTTACATATATGTATTTATGTAAGGCAAGTCATTATAAAGGATTCTAAACATACATCCTCATATACCTCAATTATTTTATATTCTAGGAAGAATCTAGAAAAATATTTGCAATACCAAAAAATGTGCTCCTCGAAGAAGATCAATATAAAGTGAAAAAGTGCAGCAATGAAGAGATATTGCAGTTAAAAATAGATGTTATAAAGCTTGAAGAGGATCTAATAAAAGTTTGTTTACACATTTGCTCTTACTACTAATAATACTCAGGATAAGCAGTGAATCATTGAAGTCCAGCATTAATGTTTATGAGAGAGACAGAGAGCAACACACATGATAAAGCGAGATCAGGAATGAACCATGACCAATGTGTTGTCATATGTTTCTCTATCTCTCTGGTACACACTAAATGTGACACCTCAATGATTCTTTACCAGTCCTGTAGAGTACTTATTATGAAATAAGATAACTTAGCACAAATAAAATCAAAATTTCACAATAGCCACCTTTTCCTTGTTAATCATTTTTTATTTTTAGGAACAACTGCTCCTGTCAAAATGCAAACGATTGAATGAAATGATCAAAAGTAACGTAACACCCATGTATGAAAAAGTGAATGATCTGTTATCAACACCTCATAATAGGGTTTCCAAAAAGAACGAAATTTCTATTGAACATAAAAAAGAGTTAGATGAGACTTCATCAGTAGATGAAATACAGAGGATAGTAAATTATAAGATGATGGGATATACTTTACTAAATGGTGCTCCAAAAAGCATGATTACTGATTTGCGATTGTCTTCTTGAGTTAGTACCTGTAATTTTTGTTCAATAATCTGAATTGGCAAATTGAAATATTATTCACATTGCCTTGGTTGGTACTCCTGTGTATAATCCTTATTGTTATTCTTTGTCTGTTGCCTTAATAAAATAAATAAATCTGATTTATTCTAACTTAACAGCTTTCCAGAAAAAATATGTGTACAATATATTTTTTGTTTTGTAGTGCCTAAATAAGCTAATTATGTAGACTGTACCACTTGTATGTATCGATGTATTGCTATTATAATTTTCCACTTAAGTATGTTATTTTATTATTGAATGAAATATAAATAATGGCTAGAGCATCCATATTTACTAAATAATTGACAAATAATGAAGATATAATTTCAAATAATATTAAAACTCATATTGGGAAATCATTATAGAAAAAGAGGATTTACTTTATTTTTCTTATTCATAATTTGCTTCAGAGTATTTTTCAATTCCAATAGAATTAAACATTAATTAAACTATTAACCTTTAAATAAGCTAGAAGGAAATTGCTCATATTATGCAGAACCGGGCCGGAACACGCAGATTTCATAAACTCAAATTCTATAATTTCATTTTTATTAAGTAAATATCAATATTAAATTATTAACACTCCAAATGTCTAAGGATTGGTATATCCATTTTGTACCTTCGCCTAAAGCGATTTCAAAGAAAGTCAGTAACTTGAAAGTATACTCTTGCATATAGCAATAAACTACACATGACGCTTTCCTTCGTCCGACCAACTATGAACAGCTGTTTCGTGCTTGTCGACCACTCATCTGCATGGTCTAGTGTTGGTCTCTCATCTCTGGGACAACGAACGGAATATCAATATATATAAATAAGACAGCGCAAAGCGCCATTTATCACCGGAGTCGACCACTGCGGTCAGTGCATAGCTTTTGGAATTGCAACGATCTCAATTCACGGTAAATAGCTCAGTCACCATATGACCGCTAGATGGCTAACGATTTTGGCTCACGATACACATACACTGAAGATAGGATGTTGCGCATGCGGGCGGAGCTTCGTGACGTCACCTTGAGAGTTGTCGGCTCGTGGTTACCAGCGACAGGATTGTCGTAGCGTCGCTGCAGTGCACGTGTATCCTGGTTGATACTATATAGTGCGATTTGTTGGTAATTTTTGGTGGTTTTGTGACTTGTTGTATCAGTTATACATACTTTATATACCCTTTGTGGTTGATAAATTGATAATAAAGCGGTGAGCTGTTGTGGGATGTAATTCCGACACCCAATCTAAACGAAATCCTTGCAAAGACATGAAATTCCACAGTTTTCCTCAAGACCCAAATCTTATCAAAAAATGGCTACATCTTACAAAAAGAAAAGCGCTATCGTTTGCTCGAAGCACTTTTGTGAAAGTACCTATAACCTGAAGTATCAGCTGACTATAACGAGGAAGTTTTAGTTATTTCCATTTATTGTTATACCGGCAGCTTACTGCAAAAAGAAGATAACTCCATTTTTCTACTTTTCAAGTTGTGTACATTTTCACACTTACATGTACTTAGGATGTTCTGTGAAATAAGGATAACTTTAGTGCATTATTAACATCGTGAGCATGTTAATCCTGCTCCACAGAGCATACTAAAATATAGTTAATGTAGAAAAATGAAGTTACCTTGTTTTTAATTTTAATGTAGCTTGTGTCACTCGCACCGCTAAGACGAATCCATCCAGCCATTTGGTCTGTAGGTGAAAATATGCACGTAATCCATATCAATCCAAATGAGAATCACTCTCAGCGTAACGTCATGCGCGCCGGCGGACAAAAATCGCACAGCGGAGCATCCGGCACTGATTTTGGCTGTATAGTAGATGTAGCATGTAGCCTACTTGCAATTGATGCGTTGACTCAGCTATTTACCGCGAACTGAGATCTCTATAGTTCCAAAAAATGCAAGTGCATGTCTGCCGATAACGTCAGAGGCAAACGCCAGTATACATTAATCAATGGTTTTGCTGAAAAAAAGCGGCTGAGAAAAAAATCATGAAAGGTTTTTCCGTGAGTGATTTACTTTTCGTAGATTACATAATTTTTTGCTTAGTCCGTCCCTGTGTCGTCGCCCGCCCCTATCGATTTTGTTGCAGCATCCCTATGGACCGCGACGGGAGTAACTCTCGTTTTAATCCTATCTTGTTACGTCTCGTACGGTCAGTGTTCCTTTCCAAAATCGGAATACAGTCACAAATCATGTAAAATAAACAATTTGTGATGCATTTCAATGAATACTCCTGTAGTGACTCTGTGCGGTTCCTCTGACATGATATAGCTAGTGGTAGGATAAAAATATGGATTTTATATCTTAGGCAAGATTTTATTTTACAAAAAACCTATATAATTACAAAATATATCTCAAAATGTTCGTTAAAGATCGTAAAATATTTTACCATAACTCAAGGTAAAACTCCTCGAGTACAGATAAGTAAGTGTAGAGTGATTTGAAGCTACATGAGCTAAAATCAAACATTTACATTGCAACTGAAATAAGATGGAATGTGTAACATGAAACTGCTCTGAGCTGGAACTCTAAATTATTTTTGGAAATAAATACGCAGCATTATTAAAAACACAACGGGCTTTGCTACTCAGAGCTCCTGTTCATGATGCTGTCGCGCATTGAAGCTGCTAGACGGACCCGTCAGGCTTCTGCCTCCAGTTTCAAGTTCTCGAACTTCGTACATCCAGAAGTGGCCAGAACGATCATTCCTTAGTTCCTAGAAAATCAAGATTGTGGAACGATCTGCCTGAGGAGGCTTTCCCAGGTTTGCTAGCCTTAAACAGTTCTAAAATCGGTTTAACAAGGTGTATTTAAGCTCCTTATAAAAGTCGCGGTGCCCCGGTATTTAGGTTTTACCCTGCGCGGCTTCATCAATATACAAAAATTCTTGGAAATGTTTCTTAAAAAATCCTATTTTAAATAAAATTTACTGAATTATTCAAAAGTATTTACATTGACTAATAATAAATCTAACAAGTATCCGATGTTTGAATAATAGTAATTTTATCTACAGGACGTTACAACACGTTTTAAGAAAAATTTCACGCCAGATGTGAAATAAGAGATAAATATTGGTCCGATAATTATCCATTTCGATGATATAGAGTTTGAACTTGATGCTTATGCAAAATATTGTACGCCGGATTTGCAAAAAATCTGATGTTTTTTAAAGCCACATAAATTCTTTTAGAAAAATATTCCTCCGAGTTTTCAAGTTCATTAAAAAAAAGTGCCGGTTCGATTACCAATGTTATAATTTTTAATACACATGTTTGTATGAACATGCAGTTTTTAAGTAGATTCAACATGACTTTAAGATACCACTATCTTTTTTGCAAAACTAGCAACCTGCATTAGTTACAAATATAACCCGAAACTACTATTTTTTTTTATTTGAATCTTGTATTATACATATCTTATTATTTATTATCATTTGTGCAGATTTAGTTGTACCTTTTAGAAAAGGCCTAAACAACCATGAGCCTCGAGTGGATGCTATATTGGATTTTCACCCCACTTTTCATTCAAGTAACTCTCTGTAACCCAGACGCTAAAAGACTGTATGATGATCTTCTAAGTAACTACAACAGGTTGATAAGACCTGTTAGCAACAACACAGACACCGTTTTAGTGAAGTTGGGGTTGAGGCTGTCTCAACTTATTGAATTGGTGAGTTTCGTCACATCAACGTCGGTAAAAAGATGTATCTGTGCAAATTCAACGTTGCAAAAACAAAATTGCAAAATATCAAAAAATAAGAATTGTTGGCAATCGTCTAGACGTACCTGTCAGGATCGGTATTTACTATAGTTCATACCATCAGTATTTACTGATTATTCCGTCAGTGTCAGTGGATTTCTACGTGAGGTCATACATAAATAAATACTGGCGCCTAGATTAGACGGTATTGACCCTCACATTCCATGATAAATACTGACGTCCCATAGTAAATACTGGTCGTGTGACATTCGCCATGTTGTATCTATCCTACGCTAACAGTGGTATGTTTCATTTCAGAATTTAAAAGATCAAATTCTGACTACCAATGTATGGTTAGAACACGTAAGTATTGCTAGCTATTTTCTACCAATTTTTTTTTTTTACACAAGATACTATTTCAGGAATGGCAAGATCACAAATTTATGTGGGACCCACAAGAATATGGAGGAGTGACGGAGTTGTATGTACCCTCTGAACATATTTGGCTTCCAGATATCGTACTATATAATAAGTAAGTCAATTTTATACTCATATTTTTGCAAAATATGTGTGTATTATCATTGATTAATGAGTTCTGCAACAATATTTCCAACCCTAAGCTACAAAATTCCCTTAAAAGTAATCAAAACACACTGCATTTTTCTTTTAAAGAAAATTGTTCATTTTATTAGCCCTCCAAGAAAAGATCACCCGTTAACGTCCCTCGTAATTATTCCTAAGGTCTCCTATTCTCAGAATTTTTACGAAAAAGGAAATCCAGTCGGAGAATTCGCAAATTCTACCCTCACCGTTGGGATCTCGACAGAGATACGAAGTGGCTTGAAGAGCAATGTTGCGTATTTAGGTAACTAACAAGATGTGGCTTGGACAGTTTTGAAATCCAAACTACATCCGAAGAGACGAAAAAAACGAATTTTCCCAAAATCGTTTTAATTTTTCCTAACTTTATTTTTAGTCGGATTTTAAAATAAATTCCACATTAACGTTGCCACTTTTTCTCCTCTACAAAATGGCATAATTAGAATTTCAATATGACGTTTTCGTCTCTTGTCCTCCAGCATTTTTTTACGGAAGCCATATTGGATTTTTGAACAGGTGTTTAGAGTTTTTAATTTTGATCCTAAAAATGTATATGTCGTTAATTGAAATTGTCAAACCTTAGTTATTTCAAAAAAAAGAACAATTTCGTAGGTAGCTAGTATTTGCTTCATAAACCAGATTTATGACAAAATCATTTTTGTTGTTTTCCTGACTTTATTTGTGATAGTATTTAATAATAAATTGCACGTTGATATTGCAATTTTTTTTTCTTTACTAGCGAGCGTAGTCAAATTTTCAATTCGAGGACAGAAATAAAAGGGTATCATGAAACCTGAACATAAAATGAACATTTTATTGATGTTAATAACAATAATCATAAATAAGCAGAGGTAAATCATAGAAGATGTTTAAAACATTGTCCTTTATTTTTTTGTCAAAGCCCCACTCTTTTCTATACATTGTTCCATCAGTTTATCTGTCTTCCAAATTCTGTTACTATGTTTGAGGTGTTCATTGAACATACATTTTTGCTTTCTTATAGATTTTGTTAGAACAACAAATTCATTACTAACTAAGGAAAAGCATCACTGAATTTACGGCTGAAAGCTTCTTTTAAATTTACAAAATCCAATATAACGTCCATATGAAAAATTGGTGATGGAAGTCGATAGGAGATACCTCGAATTGCAAATTTGACTACGCCATCTTGTATAGGAGAAGAAGTGGAATTGAAAACATGCCATTTATTTCGAAATCGCATCTCGAATAAAGTCAGAATAAAATAAAAATGATTTTGTGATAAATCTGGTATACAAAACAAACGACTATTTTATAATTTCAAGGCCTACCTAGGAAATTGTGTTTTTTAAATGACTAAGGACAATAAACGGCACATGGTATTGAAATTCTGATTGTTCAATCTTGTAGAGGAGAAAAAGTGACAATGTTAATGTGCAATTTATTTCTAAATCCCACTATAAATAAAGTCAGGTTGAAACTAAAACATTTAACGACTCCCTACCTCTTACTGTTACCGAAATCCCAATGGTGATGGTATCTTTTGATAGAATATGCTAATTATGGACATTACACACTGTTAAATAGGTGTCGTAATTTTATAGTGCTGATGGGGAGTACGTAGTCACAACTATGACCAAAGCAGTTTTACGTCATACAGGCAAAGTTTTGTGGACACCACCAGCCATTTTCAAATCTTCTTGTGAAATCGACGTGAGATATTTTCCTTTTGACCAACAGACGTGTTTTATGAAATTTGGATCGTGGACATACGATGGCAACCAGGTATTTAAACTTTGAAAACTATCACTTACATGTCGTTATATTGAAGGCGTAAATCTAAAAAAAAACCAAGATTAACATTTTTGCTTAAATTCTTGTGATAAAATCTAAGAGTAACCAACATATCGATACATATCATTGTGAACATATTTCAGATTGACCTAAAGCACATCAATCAAAAAGTAGGCGAGGATAAAGTCGAAGTTGGTATAGATCTTAGGGAATACTATCCAAGTGTGGAATGGGATATTCTCGGAGTACCCGCGGAAAGACATGAGAAATACTATCCCTGTTGTGCGGAACCCTATCCAGGTAATACTTTATACAAAATCTACAAGGTGTGCAGAAAATTGAAACGCAGTGTCAAAAACAAATATAAATATTGATATTTTTTAGCAACATTAAAGGTATTTTAAAGTCAGATTTTTATCAAATCGAAGCAGCCGCGCAGGCAGAAGCCTAAATGCCACGGCACAGCGGCTTCTATGAAGATCCCAAAGAAACTTTGTTAAACCGATGTTTGAATTGTCTAAGGTTAGTAGAACTGGGAAAAGCCTCCTCTTGTAGATTGTTCCACAATCTCGACACCCCACGGACAAAGGCCAGTATCGAGTGTACGAAGTTTGACACGGTTAGGGTGAGAGGCCGAAGTCAAGCCGGTCAGCCTGGCAGGCACATTACGCGGCGGCATCATGGAGAAGAGCTTTGAGGAGCAAAGCCCGTTAACGGTAGAAGAGAGCTAGATCGCGGACGGCCCGCCGGTGCGAAATGGTCCCGGACCGTATTTTAGAGGTCATTGATCAGTCGGACAGTCCTCCTCTGAACAACATCGAGCATGGATAATGTAGTTGGGGCGGCAATAAACCAAACATGTGAGCAACACTCGAGACTACGTCTTATGTGGGCCTTGTACAGAGTGAGGAGGTCATGTGGAGAAAAGTACTTCTTAGCCCTAAACAAATAGCCTAGCTTGCTTCCAGCACCTTCCGCTTATGACGAGGTGTGTTCGTGCCAGATCAAGTTCTCGATGAACTGGACTTCGACCAACCGAAATGAACGGCTCTTTGGTAGAACTCGGCCATCCATCGATACCGGATGAGCGCTAGGACGCTTTTTGTCCGTCAAAGTAAAGTACTGTGTTTTGAAAGCATTAAACTGTACAATATTGTTGCATCCTCAAGCATTGATGACCTCCAGGTCTCATCAGAGAGAAAGTCGCTGCTAGTCTTGTTTTCTCCAGCTCACTGACAGAGAGCGGCCTGTCACTCTGAAGAGGGCAGCATGCCATAGCTGATTGAACGCTTTCGTGATATCAAGAGCCATAACATAAAAGTGGATTAGTTTATTCAACAATTGTGTGACTTTAGCTAGTAGGTCCCCTGTGGATCGCTGGTGCCAGAAACCATACTGCCTGTCGCTAATCAAGCCGTGACGTTCGAGTTACTCCAGAAGATTTATACACCTCTCCATTACCTTACTTATATGTATCAGAAAGCAGAGATATAGGCCTGTAGTTGTAAGGGTCGGTCTTAGATTGTTTCTACCGTAAAACTGCTTCTTGATGTTTTTTGTTTAGATACACCGTTTTAGAAAGTAAAAATATTTTACTAACCAGTAAATCAATATGTTTATTTTAACTAAAAAAAGTGACTGCGACCGCGCCAGCACTTTTTTGAAAAAACCTAATAACAAATTCCATGACACACTAGCATATAATTTTACGCTAAATTCAAACTATAAACAGGGAATTTTTTCGCCCATGTTTATGTGAACTTTTTTCATGACTCTTTACGACGTGGAAAGTCCGTTAATTTATGGGCGAAGTGTGAGATAGAATCGGCGTCGCTATCTGACGACGATTTCACGTGATGATTAACTGGATGAAGGTGGTAAATAAACATTTGGATCAAAAATGAGTTCAATATATTTGGCGAAGCCTAGAAGTTGTACGTACAACTTGATAAATAAGTTGGGCTCCCAAGACTTACAAAATCAATTTTGCCGTACGTGAAAGAGTTACACGTTACAATGTACCTTTTTATAAGTCAAATTTCAAGCCACATATATATATATATAACGTGAGCAGTAGTCATTGCCAAAGCCAACGACTAGTTGGGTACAAAATACAATTACTTGTTAATTGGGAAATTGGCAAAACTTTTAGGCTTAAGTTGACTCTTTTGACACCCTCTCCACGTGTAGCGGTAGTAGAAGGTTAGGGACTGCATTCCGATTGTTTCAACAAAATGTCTCCCCACGTGTAATATTTTTAACTTGTTCGGGTGTATTGATATAATTTTTATTTTTTCTTAACTTTTAACGAAGGTATCTGTCGTTTTTCAACAAGCCCAATGTCCCCGTCCTTTTGTTTTTATACTGATCACAAGTTCGATCTTCTCTACATTCTTTCTGAAACACCTTGTAGCTGCAACCTCACCGACGAAATCCTGATGATGGCTCCATAGAGAATGCCGAAAGCTTGATTTTATCGTCAAAAGAGTCAACTTAAGCCTAAAAGTTTTGCCAATTTCCCAATTAACAAGTAATTTTTTTGTACCCAACTAGTCGTTGGCTTTGGCAATGACTACTGCTCACGTAACAAAAGAGTCAACTTAAGCCTAAAAGTTTTGCCAATTTCCCAATTAACAAGTAATTGTATTATATATATATATATATATCAGATATGGCACCTATAGGTAGCATGGGCTATGATACTAATTGCGATGATCTCGATGTAGTCTTAGACGTAATCATGCTGTGCTGGGACGTTGAGATGTATATTTCAAGGTGATTTTTAAACTGTTCTGTAATTGGTATTTATCCATTTTCTTTATTTGTCTTTTATAAAGCAACTATGTAACCGTATATAATGTTTTACTAAGTCATACCTTCGTTATCAGTGTTTTATATAGCAATTGTGTAACCATATTCTAGGTTTTATTATATTTTGTCTCTATTTTCTTTTTTTGTGTGTACTTTATTGCATTTTATACCACATATATGTCTGATGTATTTACTATATTAGTTCTAATTGTATTGTTCCTGTGATTTGGTGTACCCCGTTGGAAGAAATATTATTATTATTAAAAGTGAAAAGAGGGGGGTAACGGAGGCTGCATCAGAGCGTTTGTGCGCGGGGCCCGAGCATTTGCTCATATTGCTACTCTTGTTACCGAAACTTTTCACCAGTTAAGCTAAGATGCGTTTTTTTATTTCAGATATATTCTTCAACATAACCCTACGAAGAAAAACACTATTTTACACAGTGAACTTGATCGTCCCATGCGTTGGTATTTCTTACCTCTCAGTGCTGGTTTTCTACCTACCAGCGGACTCTGGAGAGAAGATCGCCCTATGTATAAACATTCTCCTTTCTCAAACCATGTTCTTCTTGCTAATATCGGAGATCATCCCTTCAACCTCTTTGGCACTACCCTTACTGGGAAAGTACATATTGTTTACCATGGTTATGGTGGCATTTTCAGTCGTGATAACTATTATCATTTTGAATGTGCACTACAGGTAAGTGGAGAATGGCACTTTTTCCTAGTTTCAATTCGAATACTTCCAATAAGACGGAAAATGCCGAGAAACAAAGTTTGAGTTATATATATTTAAATTTTGAGTCCTGCAAAAAATATTTTTTGAGTGAATCGATTTTCGAAACTTACAAGAATTATCAGAAAGCCGACAGACAGACAGTTCGATGGAAATGACGTGGGTTTTTTATGTTTTACATGTCATATAACATGGAAAACATGATATCTCAAATTCTTCTTGGACTCTAATTGAGATACTCGTACGTGGCAACCTTGAAAATAATATTTGATCGAGTTTTTGATCATTGCAAATGCCCAATTTTGAGTTTTTTCAGACCTTCAGACCCCAAACTGAGACTTTAGAGTACAGTTACTAAAGACCTTTTTTGTTCAGAATGATCGGCGGCGAAAAATCAATCTTTCATTAAATTTGCGCCGGATTACCTCATAATAGTTAAGAGTTATCGAAAAACATGATTACAAAAAATAATCATTTGGAAAATTCCACGAATGCGAAGTTTTTGCCTCATCTATTATAGAAATCTTTCATACAAACTTAAAAAAATAGTGGTGAAAAACCTTTCCGTATTTGAATCATCTATTCTCCAATGTTTCCAGAAAACCGAGCACACACAAAATGGCGCCTTGGGTGAGAACCTTCTTCATAAAAAGCGTACCAAAGCTCTTGCTAATGAGAGTGCCAAAAGATTTACTGACAGAGTTAGCAGCAAATAAAATACCGAATAGCAAAATGCCAATCAAAAGAAGAGATTTAGATACGATGCGCTCAAGAAGTTCATCATCTTCTAGCACTTCCAGTTCCTCAAGAAATAGAGTTAGTGGATGCAATGGGTTACATTCTACTTCAGCTACAAGCAGGTATATTCATTTATCATCCCTACTAATATCTTTACTTAATATTATAAATGAGGAAGTGTGGATATTTGGTACCGCGATAGATTATAGTCTGGAATAGCACACAGGCTTGCGTATAAACAATGATTCCGTAAAATTCAACCTAGTGGATACCACAACTGGAATGAGCGTGTACAGCATCAGAAGTTGGCATGGATGATGCGCGACCACTTTGACGCAACACGCAACATAATTATATTAGTAAAATCTCCTCAATCCGGGGAACGTGTATGCATGTGCCCCATCTGTCAGGTAACATCATCTCTCGTTAATGCTCAGTCGCTGGTCCAACCGAAATAAGTAAGTGTAAACCGTAGTTCGTTTGTATTACTGAAACATGGCTGCATTCTAACTGGCCAGTCTCTTCCATCGATTTGCCTGGATACTATCTATATAGAATGGATTCATCTCGCACTCCAGGTTTTGCTGGAGTAATCATTTATATTCGCACAGAAATCGTGTCAGCAGCTTTCTTGGTATTTCTCTCTTTCAGTGCTCTCGATGGTATTGACAATCTATTTTTGGAACTGAGATGCCCAAATTTCAGCATCACGATAGGTATTTAGCGCCCACGTCTATGCTTAAAATACACACATCTGTGTAGTCTTATCTCAGAGCTCTTACATAGAAATACTGATCTTTTCATAGCTGGTGATTTCAATCTACGTGGGATTAAATGGCCTATGTCAACCATACCCAAGTGCAATTCATCTTCTGTTGCTTACACCTACTTGATACGTAACTCAAGTATATCTTAACTTGTTGACTGCCCAACAAGGTTCAGGGAAGGACTGACGCCTAGGGCACTGGTTTTGATATTCGTCAACAACACCGACTTTGTTTATAATTTGAATTATTTGCTACCTTTTAGCAAGTCTGACCACTGCACAATTTTTGCTACCCTCAAGATTAATATAAACAATCGTCCTAACACCAACCTGTTTCAAACAATCAAAGTTGTAAATTACGAAGCTCTTAACCAAGCCCTGTCTGAAGTCGACTGGCCTGCCTTGCTTGATAAACTTGATACCGAAGAAATGTGGGATACCTTTGCCCGACCAGACCTTAGCGAAACGGTTAACAAAACTACAGTATGTTGTGACCCCTCAAAACCCTGGATTAACTCTAACATTTCGAAGTTGCTGCGTCACAAGAGATGATTGTGGCAAAGGTTTAGGACGACTGGTCACTCACAGGAGTACGAGTACATGTATCATAAATCCTTTTCTAACCTTCTGTCTAGGACTTTACACAATGCCAAGTATGCTTATGAACACTAAGCTACTTACCTCAAAATAGAAGAAGAAACTGTTTCGGTATCTAAGAACAAACCACAATTCAAAGGTTCACCTCAGACCCGCGATGCTAACGGTCATCTCCATACGAAAGCTACCGAATCTGCCAACTAACTGGCAGAGTCCTTCATCGAAGACTTTGTCAACGAACCTGATGGAGTCCCTCCACCAACGAATAACCTCCATGAGTGCCTGCTAGAAGATGTATTGAAGCACGTGCAAAATCTGAACTCATCTTCATTCGCTGGTAAAGATAGAATCACGGCTTCTGTACTTGAAAACTGCGCATCAGCACTGGCACTACCGCTAAGAATGATTTACATCCTCTTTTAGAACTCATACGCTACCATCATGCTGGCTTAGTGTTTCTGTTATCAATATATTCAAAAAGGTAACAAATACACCGCTAAAAATTATCGTTCACTAAGTCTCGTTCCTATCGCAGCCAAAATAGCCGAACGAATCAGATACGCTCTTAACATTTGCTTTGATGTCATCCTTAACAACCGTGACGGATTTATCCCTGGACGATCGATAATCACCAGCTTTCTCCACTGTTCCGACGATGGCACACAGTCTAATATATCTAGACTAGACAGGGCTTTTGATCAGATCCCGCACAGAGCACAGAAGACTTCTTTTCAAGCTGGACCGTCTTAGAAGTACAGGAGAGTTGTTTCAATGGATCGAGGCTTTTCTTACCGGGAGAACTTCTGTGCGCGTCAGTGATAGCCAGTCTGGCAAGCGGAGTTCCCCCAGGCTCAGTCTTAGGTTTTTTATATATACTCCGGCTATCACGAAGGCCAAAGGCCTAAACACCCATGAGGTACCGTGGGGCTATAGGGGGAATAGGGGGGGACGCCACACGGTCTCTAGCGAGGAAACACGTGTGCATGCAGCATACACACATTCTGGCCCCGGTCCCGGCGAACCCTCGCAGCGCATGGCGACTAATCAGGAGACGAAGCGTATACCACTGCGGCCACCGTTGCTGCCTGGTTCAGTGCTTTCCCTTTTGTACACAACTAACCTGCCCGCCTTGCTGTCCTCTACATGTTCTGCTTATGCGCAAGACACGAAGATTTACAACACCGCCCTGATTTAGCGTTATCTTGACATTGTTCGCAAACGACGGCTTCTACCCTTGAACTCATCAAAGTGTTGCGTCTTACACCTTGGGAAAACTAATCCGCGACTCGTATACAAGATCTCTGATCGCACCATCGAAGCGGGCTCTATAGCGTTGTAGTCAACGATCATTTATTCTGGTTACGAAGCTTATATACATGCTGCAGAGGTTTTTCAAATGATCCGCCGTCAACGCCTTCATTTACATGACATTTGTAAGGCCAGTTCTTGAATATGCTGGCCGTGTATGGGAAACTGTGATTGTAAGCGACAGAAATCTCCTTGAAGCAGTACATTGGCGAGCAACTCGAATCCTATTTGGAGCTCGCAGATCACGCTATGAAGATCGCCTCGAGTTATTCCACTTGACTACATCCTCAGACCGAAGAATTCGAGGCAATCTCACAGTTACTTTCAGAATACTTCATGACTTGATTGGCGACAACCTGAAGCATCTATACCAACCGTCACGCAGCAATCTTCGTGCAAAAGGAGCCGTTTAGAACGACAGCCCGACAGAGGTTTCTGCCCACTCGCATATTCAACACATGGAACAGTTTACCGGAAGGTGTGCCTAATGCTACGTCAATCAATAGCCTCAAAGTGTATTATGATAGGTGGACAAGTGAACAAACTGTGTGGCTATGAACTACGTTTTATTACGTTTTAATAATAATAATTATAATGAATAGAGCATGTGTATCGTTCATTTACTGCATGTCGACATTCGCTTCGTGAGCGTGATCTTTACTTAGATTTGTTTGGTGTTTCGTTTAACTTCAAGTATAATTCTTATTAAACAGTCATTGGGTTAGGATATCTTAAGATGTGCCACACAGGCTGTGAGATACTTCACGTATTATTTATTGTAATTCTTATTGCACATTTGATATTAATTCCATTAAATAAATTAAATATTGCATCTCTTTCTCCGAAACCTATCTCCTTCACTGCTTCTATGTGGGCGAAGCAGTATGTTTACGATAGTTTAACAATATTCAAGCAAGTAAGTTTTATGACGGTACTCGGAAATGTATATTTTTGTAGTTGGGGTACTGTAGACTTTTCTGATTTCCAAAAAAGAATGCCTAAATTGTTGGTATTTTTTTGCAGATTGAGAGGCTTTGCTGGAGCGTTAAGCGGAAGATTGGGGTACAACGGCTTACCTTCTATGTTTTCTGGGTTGGACGAAAGCGATTCTGGAACTAGAAGAAAATATCCATTTGAACTAGAGAAAGCTATTCACAATGTAATGTTCATTCAACATCACATTCAAAGACAGGACCAGTTCAATGCGGTAGGTATTTGGGATATTAAATCAGTACTCCTGGCTGATAAAATATTACAAATCTATGTGACTGGAAATTTTGAAAATTCTGACCCACCTCCAAACAAATATTTTTACACGCCCAAAAGTGTTAACAAAAAAATGGATATTGATAATACTACCAAGGACTGTACTCAGAAAAGACCACAGGGGTGGTCGAAACGTCGTACAATAAACACATATATGTGGTTCTGATTCGGCCGGACAAGGAAGTTCGATAAAATACTTCTCCGAACTTAATAAAGCATGAATAAATATCTATCACACCACAATCGACCACTGCGAAAAGCGCATAGCTGCTATTAGTTGGAACTGTTAGGGATCTCAGCTCGCGTTTAATAGCCTAGTCACCACGTGACCGCCGGATGGCTTAGGATTCTGGCTGTAAAGTAGATGTGGTCTACTTGCCAATGAACAAACAATGATGCTTACGTCCATCCGACCAAAAAGACAGCCAAACATGGACGAAAGAAAGTATCACAAATATCCTCTATACCGGAGATACGGTCTATCGAAATAAGTCAACGAAAGTGCCACCTATCACACCAGAATCGACGACCGATAATAGATCAAGCCTAGACCATGCTGATGAGTAGCCAAGAAGCAAGAAACAACTGTCCATGGTTGGCTGTCTCTTTGTTAGGACGGACGAAAGCATCATGTTTGGTTAAATAAGTAGTGTGGTTGGCAAGTTTTTATTGGCACCCTGTATATCTTTATAGGAGGATCAAGACTGGGGTTTCGTAGCCATGGTACTTGATAGACTATTTCTCTGGATCTTCATAGTGACTTCTATTGCTGGTACCATTTCAATCCTATGTGAAGCGCCAGCATTATATGATGACACGAAGCCCATAGACATGGAACTGTCGTCAGTTGCCCAACAACAGTTTTTACCAGATTTCGAGAATATGCAATAAGTTGTGAGTTGGTTACGTTTATTGAAGTTTGTATTATGATTCGTATCATTGATCAACCTATTCACAGAAGATACCCAATTTAATTGAAAGTCATATCCGATTGACGGTAAGCACACATACCACGTTAACTATTTATGTGTACAACTGTACAGGGTGTCCTTAAAGTTGTGACCTTCTTTTACAGATCGTATAGGTCAACAATAAGCAAATATTCCTAGTAACATATACCCTTCATTTTACGTGATTGTTTCTGGTAGCAAATCGTATTTAAAAACCGAAATTGGAGCCTTACAATAGCAATAATGATTCGATGTTTACGCATTCATCAAGAAGCCACGATGGTTGTTTTATATCGTGCAAATGCCGTTGAGGGCGACACAAAAGTTGCAAATTTAGAAAGAAGTAAACAAACTCCTGTTTTTGAATCCAAGTAGTATTTACAAATAAAACATGTGACAGGACTGTACCTGAAATTTCTTACAAAATAATACTTAGTAAGTACTTTAATTTCATATTTACGTTTTTGCTCCTGTTTCATTGCATATGAGCCTTGTTACAATACGGCCATTTTTTATGTAATAGTCGATTTGGCTTTGCCTGCGCGTCTTGTCACGTGACGTCCATTCAACCTCAGCCACTCTTGGTCAGTCTCACTACGTCCGCCATTACGTTTCACGTCTCTGTCGGTGTTGGTTGTGTGCTTATACTGCTTTAGGCGAATTATTTTCAAAAACTGTTCTGGTTGTCATAGAAACGATGGAATTTTTTGACAACGGTCATACAACGGTTGTGATAATGACGTTATTGAGACTTGCAAACGAATGTGCCGATTCTCAAATTGCTTTGGAGTGGCACATGGATTACTATAAATTGTTTCTGCTGCACATTTTGAGCATTTAAAATAAAATGATGAATACTACACTACATATTATTGCTTGCTCTACCATTGCAATTAAATTCAAATCCATGACAAATGTGACAGCTCAGAATCAGAAGCAGGCTGGTTCTAAGAATTCTGAATCAGATCAGACGTCATTGTTATAAATAGAATACGTTTGGTTGAAATTTGGTGAAGTTTCAATAATTAGAACCACTGCCAAAAGAATTACTATTTGTTTGTCATGTCAATCAGCAAACCCGTCGAATGTGAAGTGCGCTCAGTAATTCAGTTTTTAAACGCATTAAAGTTCCTTTCTGCTTGTTGAATTAGGCGCATTATTCAAAACCGCCGGGAGGCATCCCTCTCTAGCAGTGTCGTCTGCATCACGACAACGCTCGGCCTCATGTTGCGGCAAGGACACAGTCGCAACTGGACAAGTTTTGTTGGGATTCACTGGACCATCCACCATACAGCGATCAGACTTTTTTCCACTACTTAACGGGATTTCCTGTTGGAAAGCACTTGGAAAATGATAACATGTTGAAAGAAACAGATGCTAACTGGTTTAACGGACATGTGGCAGCGTTTTTTGACGACGGAATCCAATAGCTGGTGCCACGACTTGAAAAATATTTAAATGTTCATGTTGACTCTGCTGAAAAAGGTTCATATTTTAGTTTGTGATACAATTGGCATTCATAAATAAAGCTTCTCTGACTCCATTAAAAAACGGTTCTTACTTTAAAAATGGCCCTTATATTTCCAACATAGTTGTTTCTGAACAGGAAAGACCCAACTTCTAGGAAACACTGTATACGAGGTGACCATCAGTGGGATGTTGAAAAATTCTGAGAATACGAAATCTTGCAAGTAACTAGGAGCCAGGTTGAAGAGTGACCTTTCGGAAGGTTGATGTCATGTTATCTCAAATACCCATCGGGAAATTGTAAAGCAAGCTGTAACTTTAATTTTGGCGACCTCAAAAAGTGTAATTTAATTTTTAAATATACCCATTTTTAGGTCTTTTCAGGCATTAAATCGAACTCAAAAATGGTCAGTTTTACAGAAAAGTTAATGGAAGCCTTTTTTGTTTGCAATGATCCAGAAAATCTGAATTTCTCCAGGCACAAAAAAGAAATTTATTATAAAATTTGATATGGTGTGATGCTTAAACGGTTAAACATATTTGAGGTCGCCAATATCTAAAATAAAGTTAAAACCTTGCTCTACAGGACCTCTAAGAGAAATATATATATATATATATATGTTCATTTCGGGCCTGATGAAGCCAATCAGCAGAAATTCGTTTCGCTCGGGTTACCTATCCTATTTTCTGCTCGAATCCACTTTCCTTGTTTTTGCGGATTTTTCCCATTATTTTCTATTTTTTGTTATATACCTTTGTCCGCATGATCATTTTCTCTCTCTCTCTCTATATATATATATATATACAGGGTGCAACATCAAAAATATCTGAATACCGTCCTGTAGCCGCGACTCGCGATATTCCCAACTGGTGCCGGCTACTAGCTCAACCCGACGACAGAACTGGGTCGGGGGTCGGGGTCAGTGTGTCAGGGCAGTATGCAACCTTCAACCGACGGTTACGGTCACGCGTGTAGAGGTAAACGAACTCGTATTTCAAAAAACAACAAGCACTAGAGTCGTGGCTAGAGAAGTGCAAGTATCAAAAACTAAAGTGTGACAAACGCTGCGTGAAGAGGGGCTGTATCCGTTTCACGTCCAACGTGTACAAGCCCTTCAACCTGACGATTTTCCAGCAAGAGTGCGGTTTTGTGAGTGGTTGTTGCATCAACGGACTTTTTGAAGTGCATATTGGTGACAGACGAATCTACGTTCACGGGTAATGGGGTGAATAACTTTCGCAACACTCATGTTTGGTCAGTAGAAAATCCGCACGCTGTCCGTCGGGCACATTTTCAACATTTTCGGTGAATGTTTGGGCTGGCATGGTGAACGGTAGGCTCATTGGACCATTTATTCTCCCAAATCGATTGGACGGGATGCAATACCTAGAATGTTTACATCTGTTCGGTAGCGCATCAGCTGATTTCATTTTCAGTTGGAGCGGTATGATTTCGCTCAGAGACGTACTTAGTCCTTCTCGTCAACTGGAGAGTGAGTACTTTTTACTTTATTTTTTTTTACTTGGTCGCCCTCGTTTCACTACACATTACCTTTATTTCAAGGGTAGTTGTTTCTGAAAAGGAAAACCCCAACTTTGCGGACACCCTGTATATATATAGGAAAATAATGGGCAAAATCCGCAAAAAGTGGATTTGAGCAGAATAGGATAGGTAACCCGAGCGATACGTATTTCTGCTGGTTGGCTTCATCAGGCCCGAAATGAATGCACATATGCAACTACAAAAGTGGTTATTTGTCGCCTTGAAAATTCTAGGTCTTCTAGCCATTTGATACTACAATGTGTAGGTTGGCTCTTGTTGTGGACTTCGTGTGTCTTTTTTTCCTCTCCATCTTTGTTTCCTCAGGTTACACCCGTATCCGGATGTATGGGCATGTGTCTCTACTTTTGTAGTTGCATATGTGCATTCATTTCGGGCGTGATGAAGCCAACCAGCAGAAATACGTATCGCTCGGGTTACCTATCCTATTCTGCTCAAATCCACTTTTTGCGGATTTTGCCCATTATTTTCCTATTTTTGTTATATACCTTTCTCCGCATGATAATTTACTCTTTATATATATTATTAATCTAGTGGGGGCTTATTCTTGGAGAATATGTTGATCAGTGATCATACGGATTGTTATGTATTAGCAATATTAAATATATTCCATATTCCTTGTCGGTTTTTGGGAAGAGATTGAAATTTTTTCACGCAGCCATTTTAATTTCTAATATTTACCCAATCATTTTAACCATATAAGTGTAAATATATCAGATTGTAGTAAACTACTATTGAATGGCAATCAATACATTCTATAAGACATACTTTAAGAGATAATTTTGTTTATATAGCTAGTGAAATGTTATGCATTAAATAAATCTGTGATTGATTAGTTATTCAGATTTTCTTCCGATATGCTGTATCCCTATGCTCCACTCCTAACCCCCTTGCAATAAATTGCTTTATTGAGAAGGTATATTCTTTAATTGAATCCTCTGGGATCAAAACCCCCTAAATTCACTTCAGACCAAAAATGAGTAAAATACACTTTGATATTCTTCAAACCATTCGTTACTGTTCACTATACCTATTTAGTGACAAATCGCTCTAACTCTATAGTAAAAATGGCATCAAAAAGCTACCACAGTTGCAAAGTCCCTTAAATCCAGCCATGATAATTTTCAAACGCCCCTAAATCCAGTTCAGCCAATCCGGTCACAGAATTTGAGGCGCCAGCGCTAAAGCCTTTTTCGCTCTGTTGCGAGAAAAACGAGACGATTTATTGACTATGAGTTTTGACTGTCAAAAGAATCTCACGCTTCCAAAAATACCTGACCAAAGTGTGTATTATAGTCGACAACTGTATCTTTATAATTTCACAACTGTAACCGGTGATTCACATTCTAAGCTGACACCAGAAAACGTGCGAATATTTGCCTGGACGGAGGACCAACATGCGAAAGGAGCTAACGAGATTGCGTCTGCAGTGTTTTAATATTAATGGCATAAGGAAAATACGACTCATGGCTGATGGATGTGGAGGTCAGAATAAAAACACAATTATGTTAGGTATGTGCCTAAAATAGTTAAGTACTTCGTCAGTTGAAGAACTCGAACTGATCTTTCCAGTTGTTGGGCATTCATTTATACCTCCAGATAGGGTCTTCGCAGGCATTGACAAGAAGATAAGGCGTCAGGACCAAATCATAGAGCCCAAAGAATATTTCAACATTTTTGAGGAACATGGTTGCGTAGTGGAGTTAGGCAAGGATGTAGCTGTTTTTGACTGGAAGTCTGCAACTAGGGAAGTTTTGAAACCACCCGCCCAATGGCATATTAAATTCAATATGGTTAAAAGGTTTCTGTTGAAAAAAGGAAGAAACAATACAGTCACAGTAAGAGGTGAGCAAAGTTACCGGTCAGACTTAGGAGTCTACAAGACCGTATGCAAACCAAAAAAATCTCGAATCATTAAATCCGCACCCAATAGGTAGTGGCATACCGCCAAAACAAGCAAAACTATAAGATGTAGCTAAGCTCTTGACCAAACATTATGGCACCGCATGGAAGGGATTGACTTGCTTAGGATATTATAAAAATATGTTTGAAAAATATTTAGTAGAAAACAGAGCAACCAATGACGGAGATGAAGGAGAAGAGGCTGAGCAAGGTAGTTCAGAAAACACTGAGCTTTGTGAAAGAATGGCAGAAGTTCCAGATGTATTAGTTTAGATTGTAGTATAGATCATCACTTTTTTCTTTGCCGAAATTAACTCTTGAGTTTTCCGAATGTGCTAATCAGTTTAACGCGTGCCGTTTATTTTGCTGAAACATTTCATAAACATGTTTTGTTTCGATTTTGTTCCAATACTTTTTGTTAAAAATAAAGGTAACACTTTTTTCCTACATACCTAGTATTATTAAATCTTGAAAATAAAATTCAGTCCACGTCAAAATCCACTAAATCCATATTAGACAGTTTCATATTCCACTAAATCCATGGTTTGGTTGCAAACTGCACTAAATCCGATTTTATTTTTTAAATTGCCACTTTCAGCCTAAAGAATATTGTATTTTTACATTATATTACTGAATATATGATTATTAGGAATCCTAAAAAGCATATTTCGTCATATATGTTAATTCAAAAGTTAGCTAAAATGTTTTTTTGCTTTCCTGCACATTTCGCTAAAGTGTTGTGATCCTAGTGGATTCAATTCACTGGTTGAGCTACCGGTTAGCCAATTTTGCGTCCTTTAATTTCCGCTGGAACGACCGTTGTACATCAGACTTGTCTTTATATTGATGGTGGATATGCCACCGGCGTCCACCGACGTTCGGGCTCGGTTGATCCACGATATTCTAACCTCTACATTTTATCATTTTTGCCTACAGTTTTCTGTGAAAAAATGGAAGAAGGATTGAAGTTATTCTACAGCATAGTAGTGGCGTGAAATTTAATGTTTTTTTAACACAATTCGAAATAAACAGAGCATCTGAATGCAAGTGATTTTATTTTGAATTATGCATATCTGAAAATTTCTTGGTTTTCTGATTTATAGTTCTTTTATTGATTCTCGGAGCGCAAATTCTCTCCACTGTATAACTTCTTCATCTGAATCATCACTCGAATCGCTTAACAAACATTCCACGACGTTACCAACTGCTGCATATATTGCCATAATGATTTTAAATGACACGTTGTTCGAATTAAAAGTATCCATTCACGATAAAACAAAGCAGAGGTTTTCTCACATGACAGCAACCTGAAGGATACATAAAAATGCGTCTTTTTATTAACCACCGTTCAACGGAATCGGTTGCTGACGTCATCACATCAGCTGTCAACCATAAGTTCACCGGATCCATCAGTGATGGAATCAACCGGTGAATTAAAGAATATACTTGTAGCTTTTATTTCCATAGGTAAATGAAGGCAAAAAACACCTAAGCAAACAATAATCAAATCCAAGCGAATAACCAAAATTTCTGTGTTATGTGCCGCCGTTATAATATGGTTCAAGATGACACACGGGTTGGTGACGTCAGTTACACGAATCGCTTGAACGCGTTGGTTTTAACCCCGGTTTTGTTGCAAGTTGTTTATTTTAGAAAAGCGCGTATATAATCTCTGATTATTTTTATTATCACTTAATAATCGGGTTTTTTCGTCTACAACTGTATATGGAAAGTTTAAATAAGAAACCTTTCACAATATTCATGGGAGAAATGTTTTTTCATATTTTTTTTAATGATGGAACCATGGCTTTGTAGCTATGATAACTTTCAATTCTCTAAATTTTTCCTCATGTCAAAGAAAGCATTTATTGATTCAGCAGAAATGATGAAAAAAGAAATTAGCAAAACCGTATACAGGTCGATATCATCTAGTGAGTTTATATGGCCATATTTTAATATTCTTGTGGTATATGGCTTTGTTAAGCATAGGAACTACATTTAAAGTGTCCCCAACAACCGTAATGAGTATAACTAATAAGGTGCTCCACTTTATGGTAAAACTGAAGTCAGCCTGTATCATTTTTCTCAAAAATGAAGCTGAAGTACAATAATAATATCCAATACCCGGCAAAATTCTAACTTGTCACATTTCAAATAATAACCAGAAATATAAAACTACTCTCGAGTTGGGTAAATACCACAATTTTGCGGTGATAATTATGACATATAACAGCTGATTCGTGACGTCACGGATCTTATAAAAAAACTGATAACTACACTCGCTTGAACGATTGGTAAATACCATTTCCATTTGGTTATCCGCTTGAATTTGATTAATGTCATTTGAAATTGTATGCTGTCAATTTCACTGCGTCGGTTTGACAACTGAACTTTACATTTCGAAATATTTTAGGACAATGGCGAAATTAATGCACGTTTTAACATGCAAAAGAAAAATTAGCTTAACCTGTACGTATTGGAATGTTCAAACCTAATTTTCACCAATTTGAAAAAGCCTGATTAACTTTAAAATGGTGTAGGCGTCACGGGCTGATAATAAAGCGTCACGGAATGATTAAACATTTGGCACCTAACCTTTAAACATGATTTTTATTCAAGTATAGATTCTAAATTACACGTTATTTCGAAACTTTCTCAGTTTGATATTGTTTAGTTCTCCCAGTGCTTTTACTGTGTGATCCCGTAAGGAGATAACTAAGGAGACACCTAACGTGTATAAAAAAAACAATTTTTATAAAAAAATTTAATCAATAGTGTACACAAATATGTTCATCTGAAATATTACAGTTCATTATACAAATATCCAAAGGACACAAAATACAAGTTAAATCGTTCATTACATAAGACGAACTGCAATAGCCATGTTTCAAACAAAGATATAATCTTTCAAACAAATTAGTAGTTTAGTTGGAACACTTGAGCCTAGGAAAACGTCACAGACCAGGGAAAACCACAACAGCATTAGTGCCAGTAAGACAAGCAGTACAACACATCAAAGGATAGCGCTTTTTCCCACCGTCTGCAAAATTTTCCCTCACTCAAGTACCTACCCCTATAGCTACTTAAAATTATAAAATAATACATATGTTTGTGTAAATAAATGAAATAAATATAAATTAAATCACAGCTTTGTCAGAAACACAGAAAAATCAAATAATAACAAAAAAGTGATAATCTGAAATTGGAACTATGTGCTACATCTCAGCAGACTGCCTGACGTCTCTATCTTTGTCGGACTGCAGCCTTTTCAGTACTGTTTCTAACCCATCACAATTTTCGTTATCAGGATCCTTGAAGTAAACTAGGAAGTAAAAATAAAATACGTTTCAGTAGCTGTATTGGCGATAATTCAAAAGTTAGATTAAAAAAGAACCATCATAGTCTGCCTTATACAAAAGTGTCTTCATGATGAATCATTTTGTATATGTTATAATCATGTGGAAGTATTCGTAGAATTGATAGGCTTAAAAGTTTCCTTGCCGGCATAAATCTTTTCATACAATTAAACACAAGTCAACTAGGTTATATTTACATTTTTATAAAGTATCTACTGGTAATAGCCTAAATAAAATAAGTATAAGCAATCAGTTCAAATAAATTCGTGGGTTTATTCAAACTGTTGCTATGAAATCTCATTTTCAAGTGTTGGTTACTGGGCCATAATAATATTCTATAATTTTTACGGAGACGTGACTAATGAATGTGACACCCAAATTGCTGAGAATCAAGTCATCCTTGATTTAGGCAAAAACCCAACAAAATCACGAGAAAGTGTGGGATCCATTACCTATTCCTTAAATAATACGTTAGCGATGGAAACAGGGGAGCCTTGATGGTCAGCGCGTCGAGCTACTAACCCGGGGCTCGCGGGTGAATCTCCGCCTCGGAAGTCAATTCCTTGCCATGGATGTTGAATTGTCTGAATCACGCACGTGGTGCAATATCAACAGGTACAGCTCATCGCAGGAGCTGGTTTATTATTATTAGTTACCAATAGATGGCTCCTAGAGTAGTGGTGTTGGTACTACAGGCTCGGGAAAGAGGGTCAACGGCGGCCTGGTTAACAGGCTTCGCTTCCCCACCACCACTACTACTACTACCAGTAGCAATTGCTAGAGACGAACTGATCTCTGATTTGGATTCAGGGACAGCAAAAACCTAATCCACACGCGTCTTGACTCGAATGCAAGACATATTTGAAAGGACCTTAAAATGGCATTCAAAAGCCCTCTAGTGACTAATTGATCTCCAATTTGGACTCAGTGGCCAGAAAACCTAAATGAAAAATGTTTGGACTGAAATGCTTGGCTTCTTTTGAAAAATGTCTTGATTAGACTTCCAGATTTGAAATCTGGCAACCCAAAACTGGAACTCTGTGCACTGATCTAAACCAGTTACTAATAATTGGCTGTTTTATGATCAAGCATTCTGAATGCGAACCAAAGTACTTTGAAAAACTAAATAGTTTTTTTTATCAAAAGACATGCTATGCCCTATGGATATTCATCACAATTTGGAATCTTGCATTCATAAATTTTAAGGACAGTAATGATTATTAAAGAACTTGAAATTGAATATTCAAAGAGTTTTTATTTTTAGCATAATAATTTGAAACTATACATACATATGTATATATAGACACTTACCATCTACCATAATATGCTTGGACAAACATCTGGCAACCACAAGTCGAACATTAGCAACAGGATCCCAGCTCAAATCCAACAAATGTGGCATAATCTCAGATGCAAACTGATCCTGAGTTAAAGCTTTTGCTTTCAGTAATTCTATACATACAAGGCAGAACGTCTGTCGTTTCTTCCACTGTTTAGAATGTGCAAACATTTCCGTTAGTTTTATTAACATCCTACGTTTCATTATTATATTTGAAGATGTACAGCTCACTACGTGGGTTACCTACAACAATTTTCAAATACAATAAGAAGAATAAAATAGTGGAAAATCATATTATGTTTCAGTTTTATTTGGAACGGTCATTTCAACATTTCCAGTGTAGAAACTTTTTAGAACAAATTCGATCACATGGTCGTTTCTCAAAGGTCATCTACAATCCACAGAAATTTCAATTTTCAATATTCCTCAATCTCTAAAAATTAGTAATATTCCGGATTCTACAATTTTTTGATGTGTCATGTTGATTCACTCCAGCATTCTACAAAAAAGTAACACCAGAGGTGACAAGAAAAAAATATATTTTGAACATCTAGTAAGCTAACAGACCCACATTGATTCTAATGATAAAGAAATTAATAATAATGGGACTTTCCTATAACAATAATAAGCTTGTCAATAGTATATGGTTGGTAACTTCAAACTTTCACTTTCCTGAAATCATTCTCTGAATTGAGCAGCAAAAATTTTGAACAGTATAGTATAAGCCACACATGACAAAAGTGGTACTTGAAATGTCTTATCTAATCAACAGGCCCGCGTTAGTTTTCTCCTAGCACTTTTGTACTGCTGCTTCACAACACATAAGCTTTCTTGTTTTAAATGCATTCATCACAACTTTCAAAACATCCTGTATATAAAGTGCAACTTACCAAGGTGAGTGCAGCCTCCCTCACAGCAGCAATTTTATCACATAGTAAATGAGTTGCAATAAATCCAATATATTTCACAGTATCACAAGGCTTGAACAATGTTACTACTTCAAGTAACTGTTTAGCTAACTCTTCTCGAAACCTCCAATTTGATTTATTGTCTGTATGAACAAAATCAAACAATTTCACAAGATAACTATTACTTTTCTCTTCTTCTATTAACATAAGAAATTCTGCTAAGTGTTTCAGAAGACCTATTCTGACCTACAAAAAAAAATTGCATTATGCACAATCACTTCAAAGTCTCAGAATTGAATTTTTGAACAATTCACTAGAATACTACAAAAAATTAGTATCAGCAGTCAAAAAATATTGGAAGTTAAAAATCTTGACCATTGCTAAATGTTAAGAATCACTGATATTTTTATGAATCAATTCCAACTTACCTCATCTAAATCTTTGAGAAACCCATCAAAAATAGGCGTCAGATCCTCTGTGGTCAGTTCAGGCCCCAAAATCTTCGCAATCTCATGCAACCCACTGGCAACTGTCCTCCTGACTTTGTAGTAAATATCACCAGCCAATGCTTCTATGGTGCCTTTTAACAGGTGCCAGTTTTCTTTGCCTAACGTTAATGCTACAGCTGGCAGAGCATATGCACAATGGTATGTCATTTCAGTGTCTATACTTGTGGCCAATGCAGGGTCAGTCATTGAAATAAAGTGGTCTACCAGGTACTGAGGGATTATTGACTGTGGAGGTTCCTTATTTGTATTTATACAATTTTGTTCTGTAAATTCAAACATCAACAGTCATAAAATAAAATTGAGCATTGTTCAATGTTTTATTTTGGATGTTTCATCTTTAAGATTTGACATTAACTATCAAAATACAACAGGTACAGCTACACCACATCAAAAGTATAATAGAAAGTTCATAATACATGCATTGTTTGTTTTAAATATGTATGTATTGAATAAGTTCCAACCCCAAGACATAAGTTATGTTTTGAGAAAAAGACCATTCAAATATTATATTGCGAGGTAACGAATTAATTAAAAAACTACTAATGAAATTTTCCAACCCTGAACCCTCGCATAAGACTGAAAATTACAAAGTTTCAAACAATGTCCTTAAATGCTTTAAATCAAAGATAGAAAATCAAAATTCTGAAAAAGCTAACATTTGATTGGGATTTAAAACTTACCATCATTATTAATACTATCATTTTTCTCTGTAGAATTTGTAGTATTATTTGAAGCTCCTTCACTCAATGTATCATCTAGAGTTAGTTTTGAGTAGATATTTTCGAGATTTGTCTGAAATAAAGAAAAACCTGCTCATCAAGGATCCTGGAAAACCCACAAAATTTTATTTTAGACAGTTGAATCAGAAAGACGTTATAATGTACTTCACATATGTGTCAGAAGACCGTCGTCTAATTTCATCATTGAAAACAAACAGAAACCAGTAATAATATTCAACATATGTATATGCCAGAATCAGTATACCATATCAAAGCAAGAAATCATCATTACTGACCACAATAATTTATTAAGAAGTATCACTTTTCTCCCTTGTTAAATAATGGAAGAAAAAAAAATAACTCTATAAGCAATAACACCATTTGAGATTGGAGTGCATTTGATTGTCAGTTGGACATTATATTTTGAAATATTTTAAAAGAAAAATAAGTAGTTTCAAGTATAGCTCACATGCAATTACCCTAATAATCGATATGTTTGATAACTGGTTTTAATGATAACAAAAAAAAACGTATACCTTACTCCACTTGAATGGACCAGTCCAAACCAAATTAGATGTATGTTGCATTTGCTAATTTGAGTTTATTAATTTTACAACAGGTAACTAGGAATTTTGAAGTATTTGCAAAACGAGTTGAAAATGCCATGACTGTTATGTACAATCGAATATTTTGTGGTATATAGGAAGGATTTTTTGGCGAGTTCAGGGTGTAGCACTGTGAACTACCGGGAACTGATACTCAAATTTTCACGAAGAACGGGAATAGGGGAAGACGGATGTGACGTCATCCAAATGTAAAAAAATCACGTGGTACGGGTAACCGCCTAACGGAGAACGCCTAACGTCGGGAGGTACTATTTAAAAAACAGGCATCTCAAGTGAAAAACGAAAGCAAACATTTTGCACAACATGCACCATCTAACCACTCCCGGTGTAACTTGAAACTGTCAAACTTCGAGTGGAAGGGGAGATTCCATCTGTTCCCGCTCCTTAGGCTTGAGACATACGACTCTTTTCTCTGAGCTCGCTCATTTCGTTCATCTCTCTTCAGTGAGTCGTTCATTTGAATGATACGATTACCGACTGGCCTCGAAGCTAACAAGAGTATTATGTTGCCTCAAGTAACGACTCACTGAGTCAGAGAATATATATATCATACTATGAAAATGAAATGAAGGGTTAGGGTTACTGATATTATATTTATTTGAGTATTAATATATTTGGTTGAAATTGAGTGTAATGAATGTATACTGTCTTCCAAAAAAAGAAGGAATATGTGGTCCAGTTGTGAGGAATTACCGAATTCTGAATCGAAATACAATTTTTGCTCTCAAATCCAATCATTTCAATGTATAATTTAATGAGACATCTCAAAACAAAGCAACCAGGTTCCCTAGATAGTGTCTGTACTGTACCACATTGTCAAGTTTGCAGTTCAGTTACTGCAGGCACACCTGGCACAAATGAACAAGTCATATGTAACAAAAGAGTCGTTCAATCATCGCTCGCTTAGACGAGTCGTTCATTTTGAACGACATGACTACCGCTCCGTTTGCTATGGGATCCCGCGAAAAAATCTAGTGTTAGTAGTGAAAAAAATTCTACATCCAATTATGACCCACTTCTCAACCTAGGTATGTATTATTTTTATTGATACATTTTTATGAAATACAACATGGGTCAACTGCCTATTGTCACTTTGTGCAGTGGCAAAGATCTTATGTCTAGCTCTCAATGATTGTGATGCATAGATCTGGCTAAATTCTAAATTGGAGCAGTTACTTGGATTGAAACAATCAAGTAGACTTTCTTTAGTTTAAATTTATCTAGCTGGAATATTGCATTCAAGAATAGATTGAGTATATTTGTATGTAAATAGCTAAATACATAAAGCGAGATTAGAGCAATGTTAGAGCCAGGCCATCACTATTCAGGGACAATCTATGTGTTTTTCCTGATTTTGAGAACAGCAAAAAATTGACTTAAGGACAACCAGAGCATAGCCTCAGACTTTGCAGGCCCTCAGAATATTGAAAATTATTTTTCAAATATCATCAAAGAGCAGCAATTCAAATACAACATTGAAGCAAGTATGATGCAATGCAAGGGCTTGATATGGAGCCTTTCAAGAATAACCAAGGCAAGGCCTCTGATTTTAGGGGCCCACAGATGAGTGAAAATTGTGTTTAACGGAATAGTAAAAAGTGCGTTTTTGATGAATTTCATTGAAGAACAGCTATTTAAATAAGGTCCATACACATAACCTGAAGACCCCATTATAAATCTATGGGAGGCTTTAAGGAACAGTTTCTGTTGTTTATGCAAGTTATGCATTATAATTCATTAGACCAGAAGCAATTATACATAGCAAAATTAGAATAAAAAATGACTGCATACCTTTTTCCACGTGTCGAGTTTAAAAATTAAGTATTTTCATCATAAAAATATCTAATTACATCACTCTCTGTCGAATTATACGAACTTGGCGGGTTTAGATGAATCATATTTCTTTTACAAGCCACTCTAACATTCATAACTACTAGAAGATTTTCAAAAATAGTCGCGAGTTGCGAAATCAACCACTCGCCACGTGCACGAAAAAAAATTGAATGATCGAATATGGAATACAAACGGAAACGGAAAAGAAAGTACTGGAGCTGGAGAGGGAACGCAAATTCAAACTTCTGCCGCCAGAGGGCGAGCGTCTCGCGGGAAATTTAAAAATCACATAATACAGTCATTTTGTATACAGAATTGCATGAAATCAGATTGAACTCAAGAAAAACACCGAATTTTGTATTCGAGTATTTTGTCACTAAGGAATTAAATTTCAAACATTTTTGTTTGCTACCACGACGATACGTTATACTGATGCTTAATTAAAAAAAAATACCATACCTCAACATAATGGACGTGTTCGTCTTTTTAACCAGCAGTATGCTTTAAATACGATAAAATGAATGAGGTTTTGGAGTTATCATGGCTATGAAAATATTAGAAAAAACCGTGATAAAACAATCAAACATCTATTCTACTAAAATCTACTTACAAGTGTGAAGGACAAAAAAGTACAGGAGGCGCAGTAGGGTACTATCAAAAAAGCAAAATGAAACCAAATATATTCTGATGATTACTTTAAAAAAATAGCCTTGCTAGGTCTTCATCTAGCTAAACAAAAAATGTTGCAATGGAATAAAATAAAACAAATAGCATTACCAAAAATGTGTACTATGTACAGCAAGTCTCCTTATAAATTGGCTCTCGTAACTATTTTGCACGACCTTTTAGGAACAAAAAGTTGTATACAAAAGTTTTGTAGTTTCATATGTGCATTCATTTCGGGCCTGATGAAACTAACCAGCAGAAACACGTATCGCTCGGGTTACCTATCCTATTTTCTGCTCGAATCCACTTTCCTCTTTTTTGCGGATTTTGCCCATTATTTTTCTACTTTTTGTTATATATATACCTGTATATATATATAGATATGCTTATTTTCATTACTTTGGTCAAAAATGAATTTTATTATATTTAAGCGTATCTGGCCTTATGCCAGATAGCATGGGCGGCTAAATACAAACTGGTTTGAACTCGTATTCACATAAATAAATTATACAAAATTCAAGTTTTTGACCAAACTGATGAAAATAAGTATATTTGAAATCAGAAAAAAGCCATTATTTTATATTGACCAACTACATGCGACTTTATTCAATAACACTTTTTTATATAAAGGTTATATTGCACGTAAAACTTTTGTGGACAATATTTTTTTACAAACGGTCATTCAAAAAAGTAGGAGGTTGGAGTCAACTTATAGCAGAACACCCTGTACAGATTACAAGATAAAACAGCCACGCTAAATCGATCGTTGCTTGAATGCAAAAGTCTAAAGTGCAATTTTTGGGAATAATTTTCATTTTACATACTTGAAAAGGAAAATATGCCAACCAAAATCACCCCAATGACTTCAAAAAATGGTATTTTGTTATCGATGTCTGCCAACTACCTCACCTAAATATGCAATGAACTACTGTTTGTCTGAACCCTTGTTTAACATGCACTATGAAGAGAACCAACCGTATGCTGTATTCTGGCGTCCAAAATGGATCTGAAAGCGCCAACTAAGGCAGTAGCAGTAGCAGAACACAAATGAATTTAGAAATCTACTTTGAAAGGACATAAGAGTGATTGGCGATCAGATCTTCAATTTCTTTGTGGCGCTTTTCTACTGCCTCATTTAATTTAGTATCTTCAGTATTAGCGTATTTCAACTATTCATTACCAATATAAAAAGATCACTGCCATAGCTTAATATCATACCCCAATCTATTGTTTGGTTTAAAACAATACGTATTCGACAAAAAAGTGACTTTCTGCATTAAAGCAACGACATCACTCAACATTTACTCTCCACTGCGCATAATACAGCATTGAGCAAATTATCCACATATGGATTTTTCAGTACATTTTGCACAATAAAGGTATGTTTCCAATAGACGTTCTGATAACCTGCAACGTGTTGCGCAAATATCCCCGGCACATGTACTTCGTTATCTCCAACACTTTGTTCGTACAAAAGTGCCGGGAACATGCTGCAAATTGAAATATCCACAGCGCAAGTTGCAGACTGTACAAATTGCTGGCACATGTTGCGGATCAAACTTGTTGAACGGAAACGTACCTTAAAACAAAGCGACCTAAAGCAAAATGAAAAAAGGACTGCACAATAAAGATAGATTCTTACCCCTACATCTGCTGACCCATTCAATTCGCTTGGGTTACACTCTGACCCGGAAATAATACTAGGGTCCAATGGAGGCTCTAGTCTGATATTCCAATAATTGTAAGAGTTAAACAGATGCAAATCATCATCCTCATCATCTATCCTATCTTCGTTATTGGAATTTACCTTATCTAAATTGTTGTTGTCATTGTTCTCTTTACTACTAATAGTTTCATTGCTGTTTTGTTGATGTTCTAATGTTAGTTCTTGTTGTTCACAATATCCAAAATTTGGATTTATTACTCTCCCACCGAACACATATTCACCGCAATATGACACTAAATCTAAAAACAAATTTGTATTTTATTTTAAAATTTTACATTATGCGAACAATACATGTATTGCGCATTTAGTGTCGGCATTATACACTGAGAACCAAGTTTGTCTGACCGCCCGAGTTTAGTGTGCATAAGAGAGAAGTGCATATAGACACTTATGTTAGAAAGAGATATAAGCCGCTTGGATAGCGAAGCTCCACACCGCGTTGCCTAGCAACGCTGACGCGGCAACCTGCTGCGTTGCCAATATTATACACCAGTTCCTTGAATCAAGATGCGCATTAAAAATATGCGTTAATTTATTCTCTACATCCAAATAATGGTTTCATTTTGGGCATACACATTTTTGAATTGTATCAAATCTGTTTAGAATTGATTCCCGATCGGTTCTAACGGCGCTCCAGGTCGAAATGAAAAGTCAGGATCGCAACAAATTCTACAACATTGTATCATTGGTTCGTTTGATAACACCGCATCTTGTACATTCCAATGCAAGGTTTCCAGCTCCATGATCATAGTAGAGCGATTTTGGTCAGTACCCATCCATCGCTCGTAATGGTGTGTTCATCCTGCTTCAAAATGGCGTACACGCAGGCGGTAATGATTTGTATTAGGTAACGTTACCTGCTGCGTTGCCAATATTATACACCAGTTCCTTGAATCAAGATGCGCATTAAAAATATGCGTTAATTTATTCTCTACATCCAAATAATGGTTTCATTTTGGGCATACACATTTTTGAATTGTATCAAATCTGTTTAGAATTGATTCCCGATCGGTTCTAACGGCGCTCCAGGTCGAAATGAAAAGTCAGGATCGCAACAAATTCTACAACATTGTATCATTGGTTCGTTTGATAACACCGCATCTTGTACATTCCAATGCAAGGTTTCCAGCTCCATGATCATAGTAGAGCGATTTTGGTCAGTACCCATCCATCGCTCGTAATGGTGTGTTCATCCTGCTTCAAAATGGCGTACACGCAGGCGGTGATGATTTGTATTAGGTAACGTTATTTGTTACCTATTCCGACCGCAGCGCTGTCGCAAAATACAACAACTCAGGATTTTATCACCATCATTGGTAGTAAACGTAATTCCAAAAAAGATAAATCGAAACAAAATTGGAATAAATAATTCTAATCAAAATGAAGACAACATATTAAATCAAATGTTCGAACAGACCCCCTTCCTGGGTTTGACAGTAATCTAACCTTTTGTAGCAGCCTGTGCGAACACTTTCTGGTGTAACATATTGGTAACGGGGCAGATTACCCGACCTTCTGTGTCACCATTGCAAGACACAGTGGTGATGGCCTTCGCTCTTCAGCCGGCGTCTATCACTTTTTAACATGTGTTGAAACACACTTCTCGCGCTTCTCTCTCGTGTAAATTGATCACAAGCCGTCAGGCAAATTTGGTTTTCCCTGTCATTTCTACAGATGACAATCATAGTAAAGTCTGTGAAAACCAAAAGCTCGCAATTTTCGGGTAACAGGCAAGGTTAAAAATCGATTTAGAATAAAGTAATCTCAAAATACTCTTCAGGGCTTTGTAAATTAAGATTTAAACTTTAACTACTTGGCGACCTCAAAAATTATCTTTAAAAGAGATCTTAAGCATTAAATATATTCATTTTTAGGGCTTTTCAGACAAATCGTTTTTAACTCGAAACTGGTCAGCTTTAGAAAAAAGTTAATGTTTGTGTGTGTTTTGTTTGGAATGATCCAAAAGATTTGAAAAAAAATTGTGCTGGTAAAAAAATTGTATTCCATTCCGGGTAAAACAATTGAAGACACAAGTGGATAGAGGTGTCATGTAACAAAATCATTGTATGGAGAAAATTAACTTTAATTTTTTGGGAACTTCTTACTTTATTGAAATATTAAATAAAGTTTAATTAGTTTATTATCTCGTCAACAAAGTAATCAAAGAATGAAAAAATTACTCTTTAAGGTTAGTATAATACCAACAAAAATGTTACATGTCACCTTTATCCATTTGTGTCTTCAATTGTTTAAACAAATTTAATCTGGGTGACTGTGTGGTATATTCAAACCCGGTTAAAAATTATAATAGTTGAGGTCACCAAGTATCTAAGACCTTGCTCTACAAGAGTAGTTTGAGATTAGTTCCTGTTAAAGCTATACAAAATTGTTTTTCAGGCGAAAATTAGCGACTTTTGGTTTTTGCAGACTGTACGAGGTGAGACAGAACCAACTACAACCTCAAAGAGTTATTACAAAAAGACATTCGGATCTACCGAAAAATGTATTTTATATCAGAGTGAGCAGTTTATACAAACATTCATCAAACTTTCAAATTATGTCCTCGAGATGGCAGCCGTTACCAACAATATAATGTTGGGAAACAACGAATTCGGACTAGGGAAATTACGTAGTCAGGATGCAAGTCAACAGGTTTAAGCCGCCAGTTTGACATTTCACATTAAACTCATAATTCTCAGCGAAAACGTACACAAGTGCGTGGGTTCCATACAATCTTAATGTTCCAGATTGTGAAGGTTTCTGTGGATTGCACAAAGCATTTTAAACTGAATAAGAGCAAATCTTTTTATCAATAAGTGATATTTTAATATTAGTCATCAGCATTGTAAAAGGGCATGTACTTCAACAGTTGAGATGTAAATTTATTTAATTTCACTTCTTGTTTCATTGAGCACACAGTCCCAATCTAAGGTTTGTTAACAGAATTGTATATGTAACAACAACATTGAGAAATGCAAAACATTGGAGACAAACCAAATTTTTAATGGATACTGGAAAGGCCCCACTGAAACTTTGTTGTAATCAAACTAAATTCAACTTTATCCACTTCAATTTTGAATCTAAAATTTCTTAGGAAAGGTACTTTTTACTGTCTCATTTTAGTGCCATGAGATTTTATGAAGGATATTGGATAACTATAGTGACAATGATATAATACGAGAAATGTCCATAATGTTCAACTAGGTATTTGCTTTTAGTTAAGAATCTGCTCGGATCACGACAACTATTCAGAAAAACCGAGTTGAATTCATTCAAGGTGTCTCACTATTTCAAGTAACGGGTATTCCGACATTTATGTTTGAGAAGGGAATGTTTCATATAGTCCACCTATCAAAATCACGAATTAAGCAGAATTGTTAATATTTACATTCGTTTCTTTGCCTTATTTAATTCATCCCTATTTATTAACAACACAGATAGTAGTTCTGCCTTGTTTTACATGAGCACACTCAGTATAAATAGCTACTTGAACATCCTTTCCAGAGAAAAGAATGTACGCTGATGTATTGGTTTGTCACTTTGGTAAGCAATGGTTAGGGGCAAAAAGTATGCACTGAAACTACACAATTTTAGCAACAATGCAATGTAAACATTATAGGTTCGACTCCTAATCTATTTGAATTAGTTGATCCTCAAGGAATATTTACAAATCTGACTTTACACCTCTAGTTAATAGGCATTTCTGATATATTAAAATGGCTGTGGTTGATGTTAGAGTTGTTGAAGATTAAAGATTCATACCAGGAAAATGATCCTGAGATTCCAAATATTCATCTTTTTGGCTCATAAACGTTGCAAACCTGTCCGTTTTTATGAACGTTGGTGCTGGTGTTAATCTGGAAATAAAAGGCAATTTTACCAAAGAGTTAAGGCTTATGTGAGGTGGTGTTTTTTTTGTCTATTGCGTTTATTTTGTTATTCTTTGGCGTTCCTTCGGCCAAACATCGCCTCACTGATATGCATTAATGCATTTTTGTTATTATCTTAAGTAGTACTTCTATCTTATAACTTACACAAACTCTCCTCCCATGTTGTTGACCAACACAAGCCCACCTCCTCTCTCGCACTTGACGTTAGTGATGGGCGTTTCAGCAAAGGTTGATAGAAAGAGACCCAACGACTGGAAGGCAGCCAGTCGCACCCACCTGTTGCTGTCTTGCAGCAGTCTGTCGAAGGCTGGGGCGAGCAGTTCCTTTCTGAGTAAAGGCGGACATACACAGGACATGTAGGTGATTTGTTCAGCGCACGCTTTGCGAACGCCCCATACTTCGTCCACGCAGAGAGCTATGTAGCAGGGGAGCTGCAAAACGAACTGAATGAGGAGCTTTCCTATCTGTTAAAACACACAAAATAATCTACGTGAAGCAGTATACTGAAAAAATCTTAAAAAAATTAAGAAGTTACGCCACTCAGACCTTTCTTATTTGGAGAGTTCTCTTAATGAGGCGTGACATTGATGACGTCACATTACATCAGTCAGCATGAAACCATGGGCTCGCCGCGCTATTTATAAACGTTGCTCTCTATATTTACGATAAAATGGGTGGAAAATGTCTCAGACCTTCGACTTGCAGTGTGTCATCCCTAGGTGTAAAAGAAAGCCACCTTCCAAAACTTTTTTTGGATACTCGCGATGAAGAATTTGCGTTTAACGAGCGTGAGAGTGGTTATAAAATCGTTCTCCCTGCATAAAAATTGGTTACCTTTGAGTATTAGCCACGTGAGGAGACGAAGTCAGCAGGCAATGGTAAATATTAGTAAATGCATTGAATGGCTATAAAGTTACAGACATACAAAAATAATACACATTCCTGAATCATATCTATTTTTGAGACACACTAATTAAAATGATAATGTTAAGCTAATGTTCTCCTCACGACTGAATCATAATATATTTTTAAAAAACCTTCAGTGGCAGCCATTTTTGGTAGCGAAATACCGGGGCATTTCTTGAGCACCCTATTCAGGAACATTTCAACTGATTGAGGAAACTACATCTCACGTCGAAAATCATATTGTTTGAACCAATTTGGATATCGGAAAATTTGTTTTTCATAGCACTGCACATGTTGAAAAATATCAATCATAGAATAGCTGTTGCTTGGGATTTGTACCTGATCTTTTATTTCCTTTTTTAGATAGTTTATGGTGAATAACACTTCATAAGCTCGCAGATTATATTCCGGATACTTACCTGTTATAACTTAGTATTACCAGAAATTCTGTTTTGTGATGTTCACCATAAATTACTTCAATTCAGTTGTAGCCCAAATACGAGCATTCTTTCCTGTCGCGAAGACACGTCATGAGAGGAATGAACAGCAATCTTTCCGCGAGGATTGTTAATTTCTTAACACGCACAAACTTATACTGAAGTGACAAATTTCCCCTAATTGTAGAATATTCTGGGAGGAAAAATGAACATAACATAACAAGTTCACGAGGACGGAAAGAACACCAGTGTATAGGCTGCAATTAGGACAACACGAATGCCATATGAGATTCAATTCTTATATTTTATTTCTATCAATACCATATTATGCGAATTTTTTTCTGCATCATGCGAGAAATTTATTCAATTAAAAATTAAAATTTCCTATATTGAGTTTGGTTTTTATAATTCATCATCATGTATCATAATATACACCATAACATTTATTATTTACTAAATTATATAACAATACATAAGAAACTAACCAAAGACTCTTCAAACGCCTCCTTTCCGATAGCTGTGCAGAAGTGCCCAAAGTGATCAGCACACATTTTCCGCACAAAAAAAATGGGACTTGTACATAGTTCGGTGAACCTTTCCAGGAATACCCTTTCTGTTATGTCCCTACCCAGATGTGGCCCCAGCTTACTCATCAACTGCAAAAGAGTTACCAATAAGTACATATGTTTCTGTAAATTTTTGGAATCATTTGAAAAAAGATTTATAACTCACCTGATTTTGATGCTTTGAAGTATTAACCTATACTCTGACGCTCATCAAAGCTGGCTGTGATATGATTTTAAGCACATTTCACATCCAACCGATGAGGATCAGCCTATGGCATTTTTTCAATCTCCTAGGCATCTAGGCTGACTATGATGTTTAAATAATGTTGCATCGCTCATCAAAGCTGGCTGTGATACGAGTCTAAAATCCGCTTCACAACCACTTGATGAGAGACACTGCATATATCAAAAGTCCATCATTGTTGTCACACAAACCCAAACACAACTTGACATCATATAGAAAGGTCCTGCTTCAATCTATACAGATTACCCACTTACTGACTAGGTACTATTCTTAGAATCTAACAATTTGATTTATCACAGAGGGCAATGGATTTTTCCAAGATTTCAAAATAATGCATACAAAAAACCTCTAAGGTACATTTATGTGAGTTGTACCCTATCTTTTGATAAATTTTACTGATAGTAAAATGTGGAATATTGGTCATTATAAGGTATTTTCAGGTTTACATGTCAAACTGTTTTGATGTTTTGTTCTTTTTGGTTCATGTGTTACAGGGATTTGAACGGAAATGGATTGTGTTAAAAAAATGTCATAATCACAAAAATCAAATTCCAATGTCACATAGGGGAGGATTCAAGAACCCCCACGGCCACATAAATTTCAGACTATGCTATTGCCAGGATAAAAAGGTTTTATAAGTAAAATATTCAAGTGATTCTTGCTGTAAAGAACTGGATTTCAGCAGCCAGAACAAATCATCACTGAAAGGCTAATACTTGAGATTATGTTGCTAGTAATAAAAGTGTGTTAAGAACAGAGATTAGGGATCAACTCTCTTACATATTTGAATTAATCACTATGAATAACTTATGAACTACAATCCTTCTTCATTGGTGTATCTTTCAACAACACAACTCGTCAAAATGGCTGTGATACCATTAGTAAACGGTTCCACAACCAAGTTGACGCGTTACATCATCGTAAGTCTGCTTGCTCTCTCATCCTTACCTTTAAATCCCTCGCTGCTTGACACCCAACCTAGCTCATCAAAGTGGCTGTGATATCTTATCAAATGTAAAGAAGTCACAACCAAGTTGATGAATAGGGCAGGTGCACTTGTGCTGCCATCCTCTTCCAATGCTCAGCTGCATCAATGATATACTGCTCAACAATGCTCATCAAAGCTGGCTGTGATAGAACTAATTAATCTAAAACTGCCAACTCTGATGAGCATTGGCAAACAGATAGATACCTCCATTTCACTTTAATCGGCAACATGAAACTGTGATGTTGATGACCTCTCCATGAAAGACAAGGTAGTGAGATAAAAAAAGTGTGAACATCTCACTACCCATGTCTTTCACAGAGCTGCCACTATTTATAGATACAATTAAACCAATTAAGCTTTACTGGGATGTCAATGGTGCTTACTATACAGTACAGGATCATAGTATGCATGGTGTCCCAGTATAACATGTCAATTTGTTGTATGTATATACAACACAAAAAAATAATACCATTAGTTTCTATAAAGATTCTACAGGGACTTCCTACATAAATACATCATGCCTTCAAAGGATGATACTAGAAATCTGGTTCACTTTAGTATATTAATTCAAGAAGTTTTGAAGTTTTTGTAGCCAGTGCCATATTTACTTGATGGTATCCATAAAAAACAAAGACCTCATTTAATGTTTAATTGTTTTAATGTATTCTCTGTGAGAGTGTGAGAAATGCAGCATAGGGGCAGCTGCCAGCTAAATCTCTCTCACACTCATGTAGATTATACATTGAGCATATGCTTGACTAACAAAAAGCAAAGGGCAATAACAATCCCCCCTAAAATGCATTAGGATTTTGTTAATGAATGATTGAATATTCTCAATTCTTCATATTGTTTTTCAGCTGCAAATACAGCAAATTACACACTTTTCAGATATTCAATTAATTATTTCTTGAAATCTATCAACTTGAGAGAAATGACTCTGAAAAATTTTATATCTAGAATGACCCATAAAACCTGAAGAAAAAAGTTTGGATAAAAAACATTTTTTTTATATACATACGAGATTGACATGCTCATTCTAGAATACCCTGTATAAGTTAAATATTCCAAAGATGTTATGTTTGTTACCTAATGCTATAAATCAGGTTACACTTACTGGAATAGCTTTGGTATTTGCATCTGGCGTGCTGTCCAAATTCGAAAGGGCCAGAATGGAAGGACAGATCTTGATCTCGGCATCAAATTTTGAGACATATCCAGCCTCTATCAGTTGAAAAAGGGCGGCTTGCGCGGCTCTATCCACCGCATTGTCTGGCAGACCCACACTTCGCGCGACCAATGGTATGAGATACTCGCTGACCACATCTTTCAAGACATTCGACTCTACTGCAGCCGCAGCGAGGTCAGGGATTTGTTCCAGCAAATCAGCCCTCAGAATGGATTCTGCAAAAATATCCCTATGTAATCCAAAATTATCAGGGCTGTCAGATATTATTTTCTCAAAGACAAAATGTGGAACACTGAATAGCATTTATATGTACTTTCAACATCCGTGTACTTTCTAAATTGGGTAGAGGCCAGATTTACTGGTACCAGGTGAGAACGATTAAGTGAAGAAAAAGACCAACTTATATTCTGGTGGTTGATTTTTAGATATACTTTGTAAAACATTACTACAAAATAATATTTAGCACTGCTTTAATTAAAGTGTCCTGCTATTAATTGTCTTCTACTTAACTTTTTTATGAGCTTTTAAAAAAAAATGTTATACAAAACTTATAGACATAAAATTTATTAGAATCCCCATTTAATAAATTACATTTTAGATAGAACTTTTTTTGAAACATTCTGTACACAAAAAAAAACTAGCATGAAAAACTTTATGAGACCATGTATTTTTTTATAAAATTTGCTTTCTAAACAGTAACAGAAAGAAGTTAGAGAGAAATTAATTTATAGTGAGACACCTAGCAGGAGTTAAGGCTGGTGGGGAGTGCCTGGCAATGCTGAATACTACTTTGTAATAAGTTTTTAAGAAGTATCTATATATACATATATAAAAATAAGCCACAAGAATTAAATATGAGTTAGCCTCCTTTTACTTAACCTTTCTCACCTGGAAACTGAATCGAGCCTCTACCCGACTTGGTAGGTACACAGGCGTTGCGAAGTTACATATATACGATGCCTTACGTTTTGTCTTTCAGAAATCAAGTAATGTCTAGCAGCCCCGAGATCTTCGACTATAATTGAGCGGCGTCCGCCTACCGAAAATAAACCATGAATTTGTTCCAGCAAATCAGCCCTTAGAATCGATTCTGCAAAGATGCAAAAAATCTTGCTATAACTGCGCAATAAACGTTGCCCGCCTAACAAAAATAAATTAATATATCAATTTGAGCGTGTAATGAACTTAGTAGAGGTTAACTGCATATCAATAACCTCGGGGGGGAAAGCAACAAGAAAAAAGCGGCAAACGTACAAGCACGCGGTTTGCCCACCATTTTGATTTCCAGCTCAAAATATTCTTGCAGGTTAACCGAAAACGGTTCGCACCGCACTAGCTAAATACCACGCGATTCGCATCGAAAATCTACTCATCACTTACCCCATGGTCTAATCGCTGATTTCTCACTGTTTATAGATGAAACCCCTGAGATTTTTCCACAATTTTCCTAAAAAATAAGGCGAACGAACGCCAAGCGTTCCCGCAACCATGCCGGACCAATGCCAACGCCTAGTTGGTGGCATCACCGCGCCGTGGTGCTACGATCGCGGTTCGGCGTATCGGCGGCAAAGGCACGCCCGTGTTGCCAGACTTCGAATTTTTACCACGAACATTTTGATAGAATACAGTTGAATCGGTCATTTAAAAACATAAGGTCGTAAGTTACACAATTTAAATTTTTCATTGCCATTCACACATAAACGAATTTTAAAGGAATTTTTTGAGCTTAATATGGTATTATTTGGAGACGAGGAACGTATTGACTTACGTGGTTTATACACTCATAATGCGCATCTATGAAAAAATATGGCTATGGTGGTTTTAGAAACGATCGATTCTATTTTTTGCAAATTAAGATCAAAGGATCGGGGCGCTTTTTTGTCCAAAAAATAAGTCTTACTAAATCATCTATAAAATCTTTGGATTGTAATACTTGTTATTTGAAAGCTCACAATGTGTAATTTTGGCATTGCTGAGACTGCCTATATAAAATCTACAACATGCTCAGAATAATAAAAGTTGAATTGTCATTGTTATTGTGAATTCATTTGTTTCAACTTTTGGTTTGAACTGCACAAATTTTTCGTTTTTTGTATAATTTTTTTGTCCAAAGGCCGTCTGTCACGATACAAACTTTTGTTCATAATTTGGTACGCAATTTCGTGAGGTTATGCGTTACTAAATTTAGTTCCCAGTTTGTTTAGAAATTGCAATCCTGTCAGACACGTAAAGGAATTTTTGTACTAAATTTTGTACGAAATCATGCGCAGTTGGTAAAAAAACCATAATTGTCAACTTATACCTGCCATTTATCACTTCAAAGTCATTCCAACCACACTTTGCGGCTTGCTACTTTATTCCTTATTACTTGAATAAATCGAAAATGTAAAAAATGAGCAATCCCGTAATTCGCATATATTATTATATGCTACTGTAGCAGCGCGATGTGCGTTGCAGCTGCCCACCTTATGAGAAAATGAAGTAAACGAAACCGTAAATGAATTTGGCACCGAAAATGGATCAGGAAGAGATATCGGCATGGGTATTACGTATCTTGAAAAGTGACATTATGTCGATTTTTGTGACATTACATTGTTTTTTGTGACATTATGTAGGTACTTCTACAAGATGTTAATCAGCACTAGCTGATGAACACTTGTTGTGAACTCGTTTTGTTGTACGTGTTGCCTAAACGTCATGATGCTTCAGTTATCAATATTTGGCTCTGGTGTGATGTAAAATCTGCTCAGAGATGGCATTATTGGAGGTCTAAGCTGTAAGTTGTATACAATAGGTAGAAGGAAATGGCAGTGCATAGGAGCGCATTGAGGATTTGTGTGCTAATAATATGTCTTGATGTTATAACTCTCAAATACACTTACTTGAGATTCAAAGCTATACATTAGTTGAGCATTCACTTTTTCTTATGCATATGCAAATTTGCTGAATTTCAAAACTGAGAGAGATAAGAAAAGAAAATCCCTAGTTGGCGAAGGAACAGGTGAGAAATTTATTTTGTGATGTCAATAGGAAATACAAATCAGCGCCTAGATGTGAGGCATTGCGAAAATGTTTGACCTGTGATGCGTCATTCCTGATTTTTCTGCAATGTGGCTTAATTATTGCACACTACGCGGGCGCAGTGACGATTTCCCATAATGATCCACAAAACTCAAAAAATGGGAAAAATCGTAATTTATAACTTTGAACATAACCCGTCTTCAGAAAGGACAACATATAAATATAAATAACCCGTCGGGCATAGCTAATAGATATACTTCATTGGCAACATATTTCAGTAATAATTTTCTCACATATCAAATATCACTGATTTTATACACTTGAAGATCAATACACATAATCATCCAGATGCGAGCTTGCTACTCCACCAACCTTCTTTGTTGCACAGCTCGAGATAAACACTACAGACTACTCGGCTTCACAATAAATATACTTGCTCTCTGCAACCAACAACGCGTGTAGTTAGTCATTCCTCCATAGATAGACGCTCACAGCGATCATAGCGAGCAAACGTGGAATGAACTATTTGCACCCTAAAAACTACCTAGTCTGCAAGACATTTTTTTTTTTTTGGAAATTTTATAGATTTTTAAATAATAGCCAGTACAGGGTGTGCACCATTTGATGAATAAAGAACTTCTGGTGGAGGATCCACTGGCTTATAAGCCTAATTGGTTCTAAAGTCGCTCTGATTTTATCCAACGCTCTTTATTTGGCTTTTCTTTTTTTATAGGCCTTGCTTTTTATAGCATATAAACAATCATATTGCTCATACTCGTTTGGTAGTATGACACACTGCTCTTTTGATCATCACATCTTTTAAGTTTGCTTTCAATCTATAAATAGAACAGGATAAGCAAAGGAGTTTCGCGAAAGTGATGAACACAACTGATAACATTAACTAATAAGAGTGTTTTAGGTTAGGCGTGTTTTTGTCAACCAATTATCATCTCATCTAGTCATCACAAAACATCAAGGAGTTAACGCAAAATATGTAATTCCTTGTCACGTAGCGCTTCTATCAGCCATTGTACTGCTTCAAATGCGCAGTAATCGTCTGCGTACTTTTAGTATGATATTATTTAGACAAGATTCTCAAAAATTGAGCACTAAATTTGTTCTTACAAAATTATGTACTAAATGCTGTCCGACACTATCCTCAATTTTTTACGAAATTTGCGTATTGAATTTTGCACAAAATTTCGTATCGTGACAGACGGCCTTTAGTGTATTTTATTTGTAGATTTTAAAGCAGAGGGTGTTGAGACCATGCGCTCTTATAAATATAGTAAGTCGAATGTTCTTAAATTAGTGAAATTTGGAGAAAAAATGATGAGTCGATGGGCTTTTAAATAATAGTCAAATACTAAAATACAAAGGAATATGTTGATGATAGTTTAAAATACATGAGTTCTAATATATTATTAACACAAAAAAATGTATAGATGCGATCAACATGAAATGTGATTTATTTTTATATATTTTTAGATGCAAGGCGTTATTGATTCCGACCCTTGTATGTAGTAGTTTCAATTATGGTATTTACGCAGTTCAGGTGTAAGAAAAGAGGATATAACCATATGATTCACTTTTTCAGACAACTAACCACGAAGTTATTGCAAGTTGCCCTGATAATAGAAAAATAAAACAAAAATCAGAAAAAAAATCAATCAGCAATCAGAAGCAAAGCTACTTACCCAGAAATGTCTTACGATTCCGGTATTTTCCCAGAAAACACGATGTTTGCTGATGTTCAATAATTCCGAATCCAAGATATATTCAAACATGCGTACCTACTCTTCAACAGTGTGTAACCATCAAAATGAAAAAACGTAACTGGGCCTTACTCTATGTTAGACACCGATAAATCCTGTCTCATCCATAGCTTGATGGACGACAGTACGTTACATGCAGGCATTCAAAATGGCCGATCGGTCTTAGAAGCTCAGCGAGAGAGGAAGACGCTTGTAGCGACTAAGGATGACCGAGATCATTATTTTTTAATATCTGTGATATCGTTACTTTGTGATATCAGTTATTTGAAACCTTAACGCGATCATGGCTTTCGAATAACGATAAGATTATGGGTACGACACTGATGACTTGAGCAAAATACAGCGATGATATCACATGGAGCCCTTAACCAAAACCTACAATGAACGATATCGTATTCAAGCCATAGTAGTATATTACT